CGTTTAAAAAGTAAGCTAACTTACGTACTTTGCTCAAAACTAAAAACCACCAGAAAGAAAGAGAGAGAGGGAGAGAGAGAGAAAATTCAGAAATACACACTTGAAGTTTCAGATCCGTCGGCGATTCAATTGGTGTGATCGGAAAAGCCCTGAAAAAGCAGCTGGTCGTCCCGGATTGGAATAAATTCACCGATGAGATTGGAAGTATCTTCGAGATGGTTCGACCGGAGGATTCGGGACACGTGGGGTTTTTATGGTTTTTATGTTTTTATGCTTTCATTATTTTACCTTACCTTTGAAGCGAAGCTGGATTCAGATCAAAATTAGAAATTCAGTCTTTAGTAACGTTTTAACTTGAATATTTTGTTTGTGAAGGTACTATAACCTCAAAAAACCTGCGTCACTTTGAACCCGTTTTTTTGTCTCGACGCGGCGCAGATGAAATTGGATATCATAATTCTGTCACGGCCGCTTTTTGATTGCATTTTATCGGCGCGGGGGAAACGGGCTTTTGGGGGCAGGATTAACATAAAGGCTGTTAAAAATGGCACGTCTAACAAGGAGTGTCCTTTTGGTGTCATCGGCAAAACGATTCGTGACCCCGCTCATTCGATAGAGAATTGAATTCTGAACAAGACTGTGTTGTTCATTTTTGCGGAATGGCTGTCCCTGATTTTATAAAATTAAAAAACGGCCGGCGACGCCCATACATTGGTGCTTGGGGAGCGAGTTGTTAAGGTTTCGCGCTTGGTTTTTTAATTCTATAAAATCAGGGACAGCCATTCCGCAAAAATAAACAATACAGTCTTGTTCAGAATTCAATTCTCTATCGAATGAGCGGGGTCTCGAATCGTTTTGCCGATGACACCAAAAGGACACTCCTTGTAAGAATGAAAATTTATTCATAGAGCCCATAGCTCGAAGAAACAGCTTTTACTAAGGTTTCCCAGGACCTGAAAATCCATTTAACTTAATGAAAAGTATTAAACCCGTTTCACACTTTTAAAAAGTTGTATTACTTTCCCCATTTTTAGCTAGCCACCTATATCCCACAACTCGCCCGCTGTGATCCAAACCTGTGGGCCGTTTCCGTCTGTACCATTGACGGGCAGAGGAAAAGTTGGGGCGATGCGAAAGTGCCGTTTTGCCTTCAGGTTTGTCGATTTCTGAGTTTTCCTTCTATTTTAAGTAGCAAGTTGAGGACCACAATTTTCAGAGCGTCAGCAAGCCGTTCACCTACGCGCTGGTGCATGAGGAGATTGGGCCCGAGCTTCTGCATTCCTTCGTCGGGCAGGAGCCATCTGGGCGTCTTTTCAACGAGATTTGCCTAGATCATTCGAGTGGGTTTGAGTGTTAAGGCTGCGATAGTACAATACTGTACGCGCTGGTACGCTAAGGTGCCGCTAGTGCGCTACAGTACGTGGCAATACACTACCGTGCACCACAGTACGCAACACTACGTCACTGTACGCCATGGTACACGACCAGGGTTGTTCACCGACGGACCCGGATCGGTGAGGATCCGGATCCGCTCGGATCCGGATCCAATGCGGATCCGAGGAAAAAGGGACCGGAAGTAATATTCTCGATTCTGATGCTGTTTCGGTCATGTTAATCGCAAAAATATAAGCCCAGAGGCAGAACTGATCTTTGCATCTAAGAATTAGCACTTAACTCGGTTGCATGATCCATTTCCTTGGATCCGGATCGGATCGGATCCGCCCTGGATCTGGATCCGGATCCGGATCCAGCGGCGGATCCGGATCCGGATCCGATCCAGATCCAGATCCGGATCCAGTCCGATCCGAAAATGACCAACCCTGTACACGACTGTACGATGATATACTATACCGTGCGCAATGAAGTCGTGCGCTAGCGTACGATACAGTACAGAAGACTACGCTAGGATACGCCCTTGTGCGGTACAGTGCGCCAAATACCGCTAGCGTATGCTTAGGGACTTCGGTTTCCGACGCTACCGTCACTTTTCGACAATACGTTACGCTCCGTTGCTATGCGCTACGTTATTGTACACCACCACGCTATATCACATCTATTTTCAGAAAAGCCCCACAACCCACTCATCAACGCCGGCGCGATTATGTGTGCAGCGCTGATGCAACAAGGGGCCCAGATCGCCGACAGATTCGATTTTGTGGGTTTAAACGAACTTGAAAGGCTCCGGATCCACCGGCTTTCCATATATTTTCAGGTTTTCAGGCCCTCCGACAATTCCGAGGTTTTGCCGGAAATATCGGGCATGTCGGCTTCAATAACTCGGTTTTCCTATCCGAGCGCGACACGGCTGATCGGAACTACGCGTTGTCGTACTATATGAGGGAGCACAAGGTATGGAATTTCATTTTTGAGACTTAAAAAACAGCAAAAATAGCAAAAAATAATTTTATCTTATTTTTAGTGCTTCCCAAAGGAGACGAAGCTGCAGGACACGATGGACTTGTACTTCCAGCTTTGCTCTATTGAAACAAACGCCGAATCTTTGGCTGTAATGGCAGCAACATTGGCAAATGGCGGTGTTAACCCGTTGAACGGGGATCGGATCATCAACAACAAGTACGGATCTTCAGGGCGTTTAAAGGGAATGTAAAGCGCATCCTTGACCATTTTGGTGCCATGTGGTAGCCCGTATCAGGCCTAAATTGGAGCGCTACGTAGCTGGGTCCTGACGCTTCGGTGTATTTGTATGACTCTTAAAAACTGGCCTCCATAACATTCATATGTATATCTCTACAGTAATACAGTAGATAATGTACGCCATACGCCTAAAAACCTCGCTGTACAATTTTCTAGGGCCTGCCGCGATACGCTCTCCTTGATGTACTCCTGCGGAATGTACGACTACTCGGGAATGTTCGCTTTTAAGGTACGGTTAGATACCTAAGTCGTTAAACTGCTGCCTTAGAACGGTCTCCCAGCAAAATCCGGCGTCTCCGGGGATATGATCATCGTCGTGCCGAACGTCATGGGTAAGTTGAGAAGAGGTCCTCTAAATCAATCTAAATACCATAATTTAACGTCAATTTTCTTTTTAGGCATCTGCATCTACTCCCCTAGACTCGACGCGCTCGGTAATACCGTCCGGGGCGTGAAATTCGCCGACGAGTTCATCAGGCGGTTTAACTTCCACAACTACGACAGTTTGGTGGGTTACCGTAGCCGAGGCTAAGCCTAAGCCTATGCTAAGCATAAGCCAAGAGCCAAGCCTAAGCCAAGCATAAGCCAAGCCTAAGTTTTCCAGGTCTACTCCGACTGCCACAAGTTGGACCCGAGGAAGTCAACAGCAGATGAACACTGCGATGGCACGAGCCGAATGATGTACGCCGCCAAGATGGGCGATATTCAAGCGTTGAAGCGGTGGGTTCGACGACTTCGTGGAGTAAGCATTCTTTGTCCAGGTGCCTCCTCATCGGCATTCACATCACCGACCGGGACTACGACGACCGGACGGCGCTGCACATTGCGGCCTCCGAGGGCAATGAGGTGGCGCTCGAGTTCATCCTCAGCAAGTGGAAGGAGGATCCATGTGAGTTAGAGTTTAGAGAAATCGTTTTGAAATTAGTTTTAAACTTAAACTCTTAAATTTTTAAATATAATTGTTTTTTAAAAGATGATCCTCAAGCTACAGTACGCTTTTTTTTCAGCACCCGTCGACCGCTTCGGCCGAACCCCTCTTGAAAACGCCGAACTCTTCGACCACGTGAAATGCGTCGAGATCCTTACCCGCGCCAACAATTCCTTTCTCAACCGCATCATTCGTGAGGAGCGCAATGGCGAATTTTAGCGTGGCAAAGCGTAGCTCAACGTACGCAGCGGAGCGTAGCGTATTTATCAGCGACAGTGCAAAATTTGAGCCACAACTTCCTACCGTAACCCCTTTGGATGGACCCGATTCTCCAGATTTCCCATGTTGTAGTTCGTCCTCTGCCCCATTTGACCAGCCTTGTGCGCCCGGTGCCTGTTTTGAGGTATTACGTTGTGATTCGAACAATTCTGCTGTGACTACAGACTACAAAAAGCCTGCTGAACCACTTGACGACGTTGACGTCCTTTATTACCGTAATTCTGACATATTTAACAATCACAAACAACCTCCAGAGCTTGTAAGAGAAGGTGCTGTCCCTCTTGAAGTCGTTGAATCCTTTGTTATCCATAATTCACCCTCGGATGCCGGCTACAAAAGTCTTCTAGAGCTGTCTGAACCTGTTGAAGTCGTGGAAGCCCCTCATTACCATTGTTTTAACTCGACTACAAACTATTCTGAATCTTCTAAATCCTCCCGACCCCCAATTTCTCACGATTCCCCCGCAAACATTGATTTACCGGTCCTGGGGACCAATTTCTCATACGACCCCTCCACTCCTGACGCCTTATTTGAATCATCTTTCGCCCAAAATATTACCGTAATCCCTGCCCCGCCAACCGCCTCCACAATGACCAAAAGCTCGAGCTCAACCTCCTTCACCCCAGCTGACGAGCCTAATTTGCATATTGAGCCCAAGCAAATTTTTATTCGGTCTCAAAGCTCGCCTCAGTTAGTGGAGTGTCACCCCGAGACTCCTCTACTCAAGCCCCTTAAGCCCAAAAAATGGCATCAGCGCTTGCGCGCCCGATGCTGTTTAATGTAAATTTGCGCGCATTAATGGTAGGTTGCCAGCTAGTGTTGTTTCCTAAAAGTTGCTGTTTTCTAGAGCTCGGAGATGACCAATTTCTTTAACAGTTTTTTTTTGCGAAATTCCCCCTCTGTATTACGTTACTCTTTTAATAGACACTTTCAATCGGGTACCCAGCCACGTTGACGAGGAGAAGCTTATATTATACATTAATAGATACTGATTTTGCAAAAGAGTTTTGTGTGTTTTTGTAGCAATAAACGTATTTGATAACTTGTTAATACGCGCGATAAAATGCACTAAAAATTAATGAAAAATACGATGTAGTTTGTGCCTTCCAAAAAACGCCATAAAACTTAATACAATTTATTCAAGGATTTCCGAGCTGCTCGGCAACTCTTCGACGGCATCAAACGAGACGGGAAGGCGGCTGTAATTTAGGAATATAAAAATTTAAAAGCTTAAAAAAATAAAGATGGAAAACACAAACTTCAGCCCCTTTAGTTTGGCGAACAGGTGCGACGTCTTCACCGAATCGAGCTTGGCGTTGAACTGGAAAATAGGGCGGTAAGTTCCTCGCTAGAATTCCCCAAGTTTCTCTGCTCATATGCCTCCTCAACCAGTAAATTTGGCTCCAAAATGGCCTCTGCTATCTTGCCCCTACTCATCGATTTGGGCCATGTAAATAGCGGGGAAAGGCGACGACGTGGATGAGAAAATGAACTTTCAGAATATTTTTTGCGGACTTCACAAATTTGTGCGCCTCGTAAAGAATGGTTTCTTGTTCTAGAGATCAAGAGCTAAATTTTGGTACCCTCCACACCCATGTAGCCGAAAGGAGAGCCAAGATAGCGCTATGAAAACCCGGCTCCCGTCCAAACCTTCGGATACAGCATTGGCGGTGTGGGCAGCTCTTCAACCTCTTTCGCCTCGATGTCTTCGTAGAAGGACGGGTCAATCTGGTCAATTTTTTGAATCTTTCCGGGTATAACCCCGATGACGTCATCTAAAGGACTTTTTAAGCTATCCAAGCAAGACCAACTTTTGCCCTCGTAATCCTGGTCTTTGTAGTCTTCCTTGAGGAGCTGGTTTTGCGGGATTGCGGCTTGGAGGAGGCAGAAAAGGGAGATGAATGTGATTGTTAGAATATGATGCATTTTCTAAATTTGTAAAATATCCTTCTTAATGTATTGGAAAAGCAAGGATCAGAGAACAAAAATTTCTATCCATTTTCATTTGTCGCGTCTTTACCTTAGCGCTGTTGGTGGGGCCGCGCAAAAGATACCGACAGCAATAATCTTGACGGCCATAAACCCAATAGCCAAAATCACGACACGATCGATATATTTCCGAGAACCAAAATGCCGACAGCCAGAATGCCGACAGCCAAAACCCCAAAAAAGGTAATCCCGATTTCCCAAAGCGAAATGCAGTACAAAAAGAGTGCGTTCAAGCTTGCTTCCAGAATGCGTCGGGATTATGGATTTCGGTATTTAGTTTAGGCGATCTAAGATGTCGGCATTATGGTTGGCGGGATTTTCACGAGGCTTTTTGGCTATCAGAAATATGGCTGTCGGGACTTTGTCCGCCGGGATTTTGTTTGTGGGGATTCCGGACTGCCGGTAATTTAGACTATCGAGGCTTATGGCTGACGTTAGGACTTTGGATCTTCTGTTTCTGGTTGTCGGGATTCTACTCTAATAGCCGCCGAGGCTACAAAGTACAACAGGCTAGGCTAGTAACAAATTAGCAAAGGTTCAATGGTACTGAAAATGGTCAGCCGCAAAATGCCCGCCTCGAGACCCTCGTCCCAAGATAATTGACCTTGACTTTGTGGCGCCGCAAATGGCCTGTGCGCGCGCGAACAGTCGACATTTTTTTTATTCGAACACATCCACCACGAAGATGGGTGATCACATTAAGAGGAGGAGGATTTGTTGATGGTCGCGATTTCCCTAGAAATGGCACAACCCAAGGGGGAGTGAGCTGGGTCAGGTGACGATGAAAATAGAGGTTGGAGAAACCTATGATAAAAAAAGATTGGTTTTCGTTCTGAAGCGGAAAGAGAGACGGAGAGAGAGCGGGAGAGAGTGAGAGAGAGAGAGAGAAAGATAAAGAACGGCTTAGGCTTAGGCGTACTGCTGGCTTGTGCCGTTGCAATTCTTACAAAAATTCTGGTATCAAACTATGAAAAGATATTTATTGCTGTTAACTCTCCATCGGTTTGGTAATGAAAAATGAGGCGTTGGGATGGTTGATATAATGGCGATTGTTTGCAAATTCGTATTGCCAGGTGACCCGATCTTGGGAACCGCTGTTCAACTCCGCCATTAATGCGTCGATCGCTGACTTGGTCTCGGTCCCGGCGCGAAGTTTATTCAGGGTTATCTAGAAGACGTTTTGGTAGAGATTTTAACGGTTCAGGATGTAGTTTTTTAACAGCTTATTGGAACTGTCGCTAAAATGAATTTCGACATACTAATTGTCGAAAAAAATTAAAATCATCGTGGTTTCCTACATTTCGCTTACCTTCGCCGCCTCAGAAGTCAGCACCCCTTGGTCAACGCGGTTGATAAAAACCCTGAAAAAAAAATCGAAATTTCAGTTGTAAGCCACAAAGCTTACTCTGTCAACCCAGTAGCTTCCGTGAGGTCGATTACAGTATTGTAAACCCCTTGTTGTATGCGCCCACCCTGGGTGGGTGGGCCCCATGTCGCGGTCCAGTGCACAGTAACCTTCGTACATGTTGAAGGCACGGGCACCCAGCTATCCTCACGCCCTGACAACTGGCTGACGTGGATGATTTCTGGGCGGACATTCCTGAAAAATGGTGGTTTTAGGGCTTTTCAAATTGAGACTTTTTAACGGACGTAGCGAACGGAAACGGAAAAACGAAAAACCCAAAATCCCCCTAAAAACCATCGTCAGCATTTGGCCGTCCTCTATCGGATCGGGACTAAATTGTTGCCAGCGATGAGGACCCATAAAATTAATATGCAGCCGGATTTCCTGATAGAAATATTGCAAAACAAAAAGGATATCGCTAAAAATACTCATTTTTTGATGAATAGTTCCAATTTAGGCGTCATATTCGTAAATCAAAAAATCCCTCCCGTGGAAAAAGTGCCTCTTCATTTTTGAAAAACATTTCGAGGTCGAAATCCCTCCAAATCCTAGTGATATCGGCAAAATCATAACTTGTTTGTCGTTAAGCAAACTAATTTACCCAGAGTTTTTTATGATGTCTCCACGTGTACTTACTTGATAAAAGCTCTCGATGGCTCGTCGATTTTCGCCTCGCAAATCTGAACGATCCGGCCCCGCAAACGGCCAGAAGCGGCGAGTGGCCCGAGTTCTCCCAGATCAAGCGCGCACGAGCCGATTGTCTAAATATGAGTGAGTTCGAAAAACGAGGCTCGAAGAAATTTTTCAAACTTCAAGAAGGGTTTTAAATTGTTTTTGTTTAAATCAAGTTTGCACAAAAATTGTTGTTTTTCACGTTTGAAAAGATCTACTTTTTCCAGCGTGCTATTTAGGTTTAGACCCTGACAGATACGTTAGCAAAACGAACCATGTTGCAAAAATAATCGACTTACCGACAACATCAGCACTTCGACATCCAAGTGACGATTAGTGCCAAAAATTTTCACAAACTGATCCCACGTGCGGCCGCGACGTTCGAATTTTAGAGTGGTGGGCGACTGAAAAGTGTGTTCTACTTATTATATATAATGTTCCAAATTCAACAATTTAAAAATTAAATTTAAACTTTTAAACCTACAAAATCCCATTACTTATACTTACTGAAGCGCAAACTATCTAAAAGATTTTCGAGAAAAAGGGAATTCCATTCAAAAATCTTCAAAAAGCAGAAAGGTTTCATTGCCTTGAAAAACACTGCTCACGTCAACCAAATTTGAAAATACCTGCTCGCCTGGTCGTGACAACGTGACCGCGAAGAAGTCGCACGTTTTCCGCACATGCCGAAAATAATTGTTGAAAGCGCGGTGGACCGGGCGAAGTTTCAGCACGCTTTTGATCGGCAACTTGTCGAGAATGCGGTGCAAAACCTCCGGGGGCACGTCCATCATGGTTTCTGGAATTTTTTTTGCATACATAAACAACAGAAAAAGCGTAAAAAGGAGGAAGGATAGCTTGGAACGCGAGCCCCTATTTTCATCGCGTAATCGAATATAGGGGTGCGCGGGAGTTTGATGGGGGAGGATAGAATGAATGCGAGATTTGGTGAGGTTTTAGCCCAGATCTGGATTAGAAAAACACTAAAAAGGCTAACATTTTTAAAACCTAGGGTCTGGAAAAATAAAAGTGAGATAATCGCGGAAAAAAGTTATCTGGAAAAGGTTATCTAAAACATCTGCTTTTAACGCGCCCACTAATAGGCGTCCCCAATTGATAACGGAAACCCTCAGAGATGGACTGACATTAATGATATGAAATGTAGGCGTTATTTAGACAGTTCCAGGGGAGAGAATTCCGAGAAAAATCAAAAAATTAGGGACCGTGACTTGGCGATCATCGAGGGGCAAAGGTCGGTTCTGGACTGTTAGCGCGGGGGATGACATTTTTCGGCGTGATTTTCTACGGCCCCTATAACAAAATATAAACCATTTCTATAGTTCTTTCAGAGACTCTCTCTCTCTCTCTCTCGCTCTCTATCACCAATCGCATATCCGCATAGCCAAAATTCTTTGGATTCCAAATTTGAATTATTAGGCCTGGCACGGGCATAAGTCCGCCTACTTGTTCTTTTCTACTCGCTGCCCCCCTCTTCGGCGGCTCCACGATGGTGCCGGTCAACTCCCCGCCTACTCTGCGCTCAGCTCGCCGAAAGAGATCGGTACGGAATCCATTAAGGAGCAAATCTCGGCTTCAATTCAGATCGCCACATCGCCGATCGCTTTCCCGTCGACCCAGCCACCCAATAGCAAGAAACCGAGGAGCTGGGAGGTACTTTGAGAATGCACTGATAGCAAAAGAGCATCAATATCGATCTGGCGCGTAAATGAAACCAAATAAAAATGAAAATCAATCATTTCAGAAGCCCTCCGCTACGCTCGTCTCCTTCCAACAGTTCCAACAGATGCCCACTGATGTGTGGCTGTTGGTGATGAACCTCTTCAGCCCGGTCGACCTCATCAACCTGGCCCATTCGCACTCCTTCTTCAAGGTATTTCGCGGAACTTTTGCATTATCGGGGGGATCAACAGGAGAAACCTCAATTTTTTTCTTGATTATCCAATTTTTCTACTACAAGCGAATGAATTGCCTCCGAAAAGCTCTTTTGGTCACCCTTGAACGCAAACTGTGAAGGCCGCTTACAAGTAGAACAATCTTTATTTCAGTTTCAAAATAAAGTAAAAATTTTGATGCAAAAGCCTCGCTCAGACATTTTCCGTCTGAAATTTCTTTGTTTTTGATATTTTTTTGAATTAAGATTTTTACAGTTTTCAGCGACTTTTTACGTATAGCAATGGTAAAAAACGGTTTTGGAACGCTTTCGCTGTTGATCCTTAAAAAATTGGAGCGTAGGAAGAGGCTGCCCCCCGATAATGCCAAAGAACCAATTTCCTCAACGTGGACTTCTAAGTGGTAAACTTGCAGGGGCATATCACCCGCTCGCCGAAACGTTGGGGCACGGTGAAGGAGGTAACGGCTAACTATCGCTACTCGGCCGTAGAGATCGACGCCAAGTGGGTGCCGCCGTGCCGTCGTGGAGCTGCCGCTTTTAGGGTGTACATGATCACGACATGCGCGGGGAGTTGGGACTGCGCGACCAGCTACATTCTGGCTTACGGCAACGAGTACGAGTGGGTATTGGCAGGGTGGGGGGAAAACCTGAAAAATGCCACGCCTCTTCTTGTTGCCATTCACTCTGCTTTGTAGGTACGAGAAGGCACATGACCAATACGATTTCATCACCGGGGCCTACGAGGGCCGCTGCCAGCACATCCGGCCGAAGGCTGATCGCGACGGGCCGTCGAAGGAAGATTTGTATACATTGATCAACAACGCCACCTTTGACGAGGTAAAAGATATCCTTTAAAGATGTGCTTTCGCGTTATCAGGGGGGTGGGGGTAGAGAGGGTAGATATAGCAGTCTAGAAATGCCGATTCTGGTTCATTAGCGGGGGGACTAGGGGATATCGGGTGGGGAGGGGGGGACTCCAATAGACCCCCCCCCCAAGAGGCCTATTGGGAAAGGGGAGGGCAGTGGGCGTGACTTTCCCCTTCACCCCCTGTAAAACTTTGTTTGTAGCTCCTAATGATAAAAATAAAATATCTCGAACTTCGAAAAATTTATTTTTGGCTTATTTTTGGTGTGTTTTTGACCAAGAAGTCAAAAAAAATCCGATACAAAATTTGGTTACAGTTTAATTGGAAAACTAAAACTTTAAAATGTTTCAAAAATACGGAATTTTTGGTGAAAATCGGTCATAGCTCAGTTTTTTTTGGTTTTTAAATCGATTTTTTTATATTTGGAAATTCGGAAACGAAATGAAATATTGGAAAATGAAGAAAAAAAGTGGAAACCTCAAACTTCTTCTAAGGATCAAATTTAGTACGGGTTCGGCCCCGGCTGGAAGCTGCCGGCCCCCGAGGAGTACCCGGAGGTCCCGAAGTTCCGCACTCACATGGCCTTGCTTGACATCAACGGTCCGAAGGAGAACATTTGCAAAGAGATCGGTTGGTTGAATAATTGCTATATCTGTGTCAATAAATAAACGTAATTTTTCAGCTCCTTTTGATCCCAGCTCCATTGCTGTCCACGTCGATCCCCGCGGGACTCCCGGCGAGCTGCGCACCGTCGTCCTCAACGTCACCACGGCGTTTCCGGTGGGGTGATGGTCTCTTTCAGGGAACCCACGTTTTCAGGACCTTAAATTTCTCTGGGTACACGTCGGCCGTGAGATTGGCGAGTTGTCGATGCTGCTCGAGGTCAAGGCGCCGTCCATCGTGGCCCTCTGCTGGGTGAACGAGAAGAAAGGTCGGCAGAGGCGGTGTTGCTCCTGAGTTATTTTTCGCGTCGCAGACGCTAAGACTGGTATTCGGGATGTTCCATAAGAAGCTTGGATAGCCTCCTGATGGCTTAGAAACCTCCCCTAGCCGAAATACCGACCGACCGGATGGGTGGGGGGGGGAAATGAAGATCCGGTGAAAATTTTCAGCCCTGTGCGCCACGAAACGCGCGCGCCCTGGCTCACTATGCCCAAAATCGTGCAATTAGCCGCCCCGATTCGTTTGACGAGGGCGCCACTTTCAAAGATTTAATAATTTAAACTAAGACTTTTTCATAGTTTTTTTTGCACTATTTGGGGTTTCTGACCACGCTCTCTCCGAATCCGAAGAGACCTAGGCGCTAGCGCCTTTCCGCCGACGATTTGAATTCGGCTTCGAACGGACAGACGGACACCACAACCTTTTTATTATAGTTGATGATGACGGGATGCGTAACTGGTTCCTTCCGGACGTGCCGATCCCGGCCCTCGCCGCGGAGCTGGTCAGCACCCTGGAGCCAACACTTTCCACCTTGATCCAGGTAACTGGATATAGCTAACATAAGACTATGGTTCTTTGCATTATCAGGGGAGGGGGAGCCGTACTTTTTTGTATAAGTCTAGAAATGCCTAGTAAGTTTATTGACAATGTTTTAGTAGTTTTTTAGTAATATATAACTCTAGATCAACTAGTAAAACTTCCTAAAAACTTTAAAAAAGTCGACATTTGGTCAAAAAGCGGGCTCTTTTGGTCGAAAAACTATATTTCAAATGTTTTTCTAAAAAAAAATTGTAAATTTTTTTGTGTTTAGGAATAATCAAAAACATTTAGAGGCACTTCCATTATTTATATTTGAAAAATGAGCTCCTAATAACAAAAATGATCCCCCGCCCCGTAAATCTCAAAGGGCCGAAACCTCCGTTACAGCAATGGGAGCGCGGCGAACGTGAAATCGGCTACATCACCATCTACTCGCACAATGTCAAGGGCTACGGGATGGTGGACTGGGATAAGATGACCCCAGGTTTGCTATCCACCCTCTCTCGTGTTTCCGGGTTCTTTCGCAGTACCGGGGGGGGGGGGAGTTTCCGGGCTATCTTTTTTGTGAAACAAATTGAAAACTTCCAAGTGAAACCCAACAATTTCATGTGGAACATTTCTAAGCATCTAGTTGCACATTCCAGAGGTGGCCAAGCTCCCCGGGAAGCTCGCAGAGGGAAAGACCGACACCCACAATCTGTTCAACAACCCGCGTCTTTGCTTGATCCGCCGTTTCAAAGGGGTGAGCGCCACGAATCTCAGATTTAGCGCCGTTAAAAGCTACGCATATTCGGGCACACAGTTTCCAAAAATAGCGTTTGCGTTTTTTTATATGAGAGGAAGCAGAATCAAGCCAAAAACGGTCCCTTCGCATTATCGGGGAGAGGGGGGCAACTTTCTTCTTTGGGTCTAATTGTTCAAATATAAATAGTGCAAGTGTTTCTCAATGGTTTTTTGCTATTCCTAAACGAGACACAAAAGCCAAAAAAAATGTCGATTTTTCGATTAAAATCGTCGTTTTTTTTTAAGAAAATTTCGTCTTTTTAAACAATTTTCAGTTTTTGGATAGTTATTCTGGTTCATATAAAGTTATATATTACTAAAAACACTATTAAAAAGCTTTCGATTAAGTTACTAGGCATTTCTGGGCTTATACAAACATGGTGCCCGCTCGATAATGCGAAGAACCTCAAAAACCGAAGTGTTAAAACTTTAGAGCCGCCTAACTGGACAGGACAGCACCCTTTGCAGAGCAATGAGGGCCTTCTGATCGCCGTCACCAAGGGCATTCTCTTGCTCTCCACGTGCGACTACAGCTTCCGCAGGTTGTTTCTCTGATCGGGACAGTCGACGATCGACCGTATTTAGGGACGCAACCGGGCATGACTGCCTGCGCTACTTGTCCGGCGCCAATTGTGCTCAAATGGAAAGCCTCCCACCGCGCCGGAAGTACTACCGTGATGAAAAACTCAAATTGCACGTACAGTCACCCCTCAGCGAGATGGAGGTATGCCCGTCTTTGCTTTCTGTTCACGGGCAAGTTTTGGGGGTGCTTTTGAGGCTACGATTGACTTTGCGCCCCAGCCGGAAGTTTTTGGCTATAGTATTTTATTTTTCGTTATTGTAGGCGCAAATTAAAACTTTTAGCGTTGCAAAAATCCCGACAAAACAAGCGAAAATACCGAAAGCTTTGCGACCCTTCGGCTGTGAAGGGGAGTAAACTCTTACCACGTTTGATACGCCATTAGGTGCGTAGTTGTCTCGAGATGAGTGCATACACCGGAGGATTATCAAAATCTTAAGGGTTCTGGTTCGTTAGCGGGGGGGGGGAATTCACGTACGTTCCCCTCTCCCTTCTCCAATAAGCCTCGTCCGGGGGAGCTAATGGGAGTTTCCCCGTCCCCCCGCTAAGGAACCAGCACCATCTGGAGCTAAAATCTAAGCTTCTTGACCTAAGCTTTTGTAAAGATACCGAAAACTTTTTTGTTAAGAGGCATTAGCCGGAATGTGTAGAGCCTAAGCAAAGCGGTTCATTTTCAACGGGCCAATTTTGAAAAGCCGCGAAGCGATTTTTCAACCCTGGTTAGTGTACAAAAATTTAGTTTCCGCCGGCAAAAATTCACCGCCATTAACCAGTCCGTACCACCACCTATCCTTTCAGCGCCTCGCCCACAAGCGCCACTTTGACGCATGCGTCAGGGAGTTTCACGACCAGATGCCGTACCGCTCGATCCCGAAGCACGAGCTGGCCCTCCACTATGTAGGAAATTAAGACGCATTGGCCGTTGGAACCATCTTTTGCAGTTCTTGGCCACATCGGAGTCGGATCGGACTCGTTTTCTGGTAGGCCAATCGATGTCCTACAGCCATAAGCTGCTTTCTTTAGTTGGCTCCCGAATTCGGCCGGCAGCTTGTGCAGTATGGAATGGACCCCGTGATGGAATACTACTGGAAGCATCACTACGACAATTACCTCTAAATTCGTGGTTTATAATACACTCGTGCTCACGAATTTGTACTTGTGCCGCTGTATACCTATGTATTCTGTGGAATAAACGGCTGACGATTATTTTTGGCGATTGAAAAACTACACGGTACTCTGTTTCCCACGCGTTTCGCCTCACCCGCTCTCGCTCCCACTCTCTTTCTCTGTCTCGCGCTCTCTCTCTCTCTCTTTCTCTCTGTCTCCTTCTCTCACCCACTCTTTCTCCCACTCGCTATCTCTCTCTCTGGCTCTCTTCCGAAGATAAATTTGCATTGCGAATTTGCATCCAAAATTAGAATTGCGGATCATTTGCCCTAGAAAAATGCACAAAATGTTGGCTTTTCTACTCGCACGACCGATAGGTGGACCGGCTACTTTTCTTCATATTTCCGGCCACCCATTCCGTTCCGGACAAGATGCAGAAGAAGCGTGGTGAAGGCGTCGAAAGCTCGACAAATGAGGTAAGTGATATTGCAAAACAATTTCCATGTGCTGCTAGGCTTCCGCGTCGATGAGCATCTCCGCGACCGTGTCCAGCTGCAGGGGCCGCAAAAGAACCGTACAACCTACACAATTGTCCCGATATATTCAAAATTCAGATCGCCACATCGCCGGTCACCTTTCCTCCCACCGGGCTGCCCATCGCCAAGAAGTTGAAGACCCTGGAGGTACTTTAGTGGGGAGCGGGTTTTGGGCTCCGGCTTACTTTACCCCCTTCCCCCCCAGCCGGAAGTTTTTGATTCTAACTTTTTTATTTTACATTATTGTAAGCGTAAATTAAAATGCTTCGTTGCAAAAATCTAGACAAAAATAGCAAAAATACCGAAAACTTTGAGACCCTTCGGCTGTGAGGGGGGGGGGGGTAAAGTAAACTCTTACCGTTTTTTTGATATTTTGGCTCGCGATTGGCCTATGGTGTTGTCAGGTATACCAAAATGGTCATCTTAATTTTCTGAGTATTTTGATTGAAATTACAGCCCTGTAGCAAAATGGGGAGTTGAGATAGAGTAGGCGGGGATCTGCATTATAGCTCAGGTTTCCCAGGCCTGCAGCGGTTCGGCGAAATTTCCGATTTTAACAAGATAGGCATCGGTCCAAGGCTCTCGAAAAAGCGAGGCGAAATGGCTTCTCCCATGTTCCAAATTTTAATATTTTTGTTCACTTTCTTAATATTTTCGTGAAACGAGTGCACAAACTTACACAAATGTCGCTATATTGTGAAACTTCAGATCGCCACGTCCCCGATCCGCTTCGCCCCTACCGCCCAAGAAGAACCGGCAAGCAAAACCGGCAAGAAGTCGAGGGCCCTGAAGGTGGTGTTGAACGAAAGAACAATCTTCGAAAAATCGAGACAACTGAAGTTGAGAGAGAAGCAACATTTTTTCGGAACTGGCTTAGTATTGGGCTTACAATTACTATTGTAAGCCTGCGTTGGCTTAGGCTAGGCGTAGGCTACTCTTAGCTTGCTTAGCTTAGCTTTAGAGACCAGGTAAGGCCGGTAGCAGCTTAAAAAAATGCTGTGGCTTTGGCATCCAAATTCAAAAACACCCGTTGCAGAAACCCCCCAACACGTTCATCTCGTTCGACCAGTTCAAGCAGATGCCACTCGACGTCTGGCTGTTGCTGATGAGCGTCTTCACTCCACCCGACCTGCTCAACTTGGCGTATTCGCATTCGTTCTTCAAGGTTAGACACTTATTCGAACGAAGTCCCTTCGGTTCTGGACTGTTAGCGGGGGATTATATTAAGGGGAAAACCACTTTCTGTTTTTCCACCTATGCCTACCTGTTGATGACATATTATGTCTTTTTATAGTGTTTTTAATAGTTTTTCTGCTAGAAAGTTAAAAAGATGTTGTTAAAATTCTTGAAAATTCGAAAATTTTGACCTTTTTTGGTAATTTTCATGCAATTTTGACGAAAAAATAAAAATTTATCGATTTGTCTTGCTTTATTGAGTTTTTCTATCTCAAAGTTATGTAAAATCCTATAAAAAGGCTGGAAATTTTGCTATAGGGCCCTAGGCAATTACAGGGAAAGATTTAGTTCCCCCCCTCCCGCTAACAGTCCAGACCGTCCTTCCTAGGGGCTGATCACAAAGTCACCAAAGCGCTGGGGCACCCTCAAGGAATGTACCGAACCTAAAAGGCGATTCGACATCTTTTCGCTTGATGCTTCGTGGGGCCCCCTAGTTTGCCTTGGAATTTGGGATTCCAGGACCTTCCAACTGACGCGCCGCGGAGCCGAATGGGAACCGGAGCGAAAATATCTGCTCGCGTATGGGGATGTTTACAGGTGAGGATTGCTTGTTTAAGTCAGCCTAAGCCTAGGCCGGCACTGACCTATTAGCGGGGGTTGGGAAGTACAGGTCCTTTCGCATTATCGGGGGGAACAACTTTTTTCTTACGATCTAATTTTTCCAAAAACCAATCTTTGAAGTGTTTCTAAATGTTTTTTTTCTAATCCTAAACATAAAAACTTTACAAAATTTTATTAAAAAATATCGATTTTTTGACCGAAAATGACCGATTTTCCACGAAAATTTCGATTTTATTAACAATTTCTAGATAGGTTTTTCTAGTTGAAATAAAGTTATATATTACTAAGAGCACAATTAAAACCTTTTTGATTAAGTTACTATTATTTTTATTCGAACGCTCAATGCTAAGCCCAAGTTTCAGCCTGTACTTAATACGTTTAGCTTCCAACGCCAAGTGAAGTGCACCGAACGCTCGTTCGATGGTCACCGTTGCTGCCACGTGCCTCCTGGTGATGATCGCATGAAGCCGGCCCTAGAAGATCTTTACATCCTGCTGAACAATGCCACGTTTGAGCAGGTGCGTTGCGTGCATGCGGCGGACAAGCGTTTCCTCTAGTTCGGGTTCGGGTCCGGCTGGCTGGTGCCCGACGCCGAGAAGTACGAGAAGGCGCCCTACATCCGCACTCACAACGCCCTTCTCGCCATCAAGGGCCCGAAAGCAGAACTGTGTCGCCAAATAGGTATTTGGCGAGCTCTTGAGCATTATAGGGGGGACCAAGTTTTTTGCTAGGATCCAAGTGTTCACCTATAAATAGTAGCAGAGTTTCTAAATGGTTTTTTACTATTCTCAACCGTCAGAACTTTACAAATTCGTATTAAAAAAACCCAACAAAAAAAATCGATTTTTCGACCGAAAATGCGCCATTTTTCTCAAAATCTCGACTTTTTAAAAGTTTTTGGTGGTTTTTCCGATTGAAATATGGTTACAAATTACCAAAAACAGGCATAAAACACTTTCCATTAAGTGACGAGGGATTTCTAGACTGATACAAAATAGTCCGGTCCCCCCCGCCGATACTGCCCCGTATTCAAAATTTGGTGTTTAAAAATTTATCTCTTGTAGCCGGGACGAAGCCCTATTGTGTGGCCGTCCACTCCAACCCGGGCGAGGCTGGTGGTGAACTCCGTTCTACGATTAACGATGTGGTGATGCTGATGCCGGTATTACCTCATGTTAACAAAAAAAATTCTTTTTTAGGACTTGAAGAAGCTTTGGGCCCACTTTGGCCGTGAGATTTGCGAGTCCGATTGCCTCGTCGACGTGAAGATGCCCACCATCGTCGTCTACATGGCGCTGATGAAAACAGGTAGGGTTCGTTAGTGTGTTCAGAGGAGAAATGTTGTGAAGAATCTCCTGGTGCGGAGCTTCGATATTTTCGCTATTTTCTCCAGATTTTCGGAAAGGCATTCGATCGAGCATCGAAAAATATACTAAGAACTTTCGGCTCAAGTCTAGAAAACCCCCCCCCCAGCCGACTTTTCAACTTTTCTACCTTCCTTATTTTTATTTTTCGCTACTTTTTTCGACTAAACTGCAACGTAGTCTTAGTAATTAGCCCACGACGAACATTTTGGTATACTTTAGAGCTCGCTAGCACAAAAGGGGGCCGAGATACAAAAGTTGGTGCCGGCTGGGGGGGGTTTTCTAGACTCTTACCGAACTTTCATTTGAGCTCAAAATGTTTGTAATATAAAAAAGTTAGGGGAAACAGATAGTTAATCGCTTGGCAATTAATCCTACCTCAGATTTTGAGACACTGCAAATCTTCTTAGTGCCCACCGAGTCCCTGTCGTACAAGAAATACGAGCCCGACGCCGGCCTGCTCGTGCAGTTCAACCACACGCTCGTCCCCACGCTGCAGACGATCATTACGGTCAGGGCGGGGTTCTGGACTGTTAGCGGGGGGGGGAGGAACTTTGGCGGGGAACCAAATTTTTCCCGTTAATTCTCTACGGGGGTATCACAAAATATAAACCATTTTTATAGCATTTTGCATTGTTTTAGGTAGAAAAAATACAATATCAAAATAATAAAATTTTTTGCAAACTTCTGACTATTTGGTCAAAAATGAATGAAACATAAGCAAAAAAGGTTAAATTTTCGAATTTTCAAAAGTTTAAACATATTTTTTGTAACTTTTTGGAAATCAAAAACCACAAAACCCACTATGAAAATAGATAATCAATTATCAGCAGGTATAGGTGGACAAATAGAAAGTGGTTTCCCCCGGCCAAGAATTCCACCATCCCCCTCCCGCGCTAACAGTCCAGAACCAAAACACCGGGAGTCTTTCCTCGAACTTCTCCCGCTTTGCAGCAATGGGAGAAGCGAGAGCGCGAAATTGACTACGTTGTGGTGAACACGCAGCAGCCGGCTTTCGGACGTCGCTGCCATTGGCGGGACCTTGACAAAGGTTTGTAACGAGGGCTCCTATCGTTAACAGGAAGGCAAAATCTAATTAACGGTATTTTAAGAAATTTTTGAATACTTTTTTGATTTCTAGAGAGTCATAAAAACACTATAAGAAGGTTCTTTCGCGCTTCCGGGGGCGTCTCATTTTTCAAATATAACTAGTGGAAGGAGAACTAGTGGGAGTGGAGGTGCGGCTCTAAGCACATTTTACTATTCCTAAACACGAAAACTTTAGAAATTTGTTTTAAAAAATATGAAAGATATCGATTTTTCAACCGAAAATGGCCGATTTTTGACCAAAATTTCTAGTTTTTAAACATTTTTAAAGTTTTTTTTGATGGGTTTTTAGTTGAACACCAGGGTTGAAAAGCCGCTTCGGTACTTTTCAACCCTGGCCCCGTCTACCTTGATGAAATTCTTCACTCTGCATACGTCTCTCGAATCCCTATGGGGCAAAAATGAGGAATTCCACTCTCTCATGTTCTATATATAGGCTTGCGCCACTTCCGGCGTATGCTAATTATTTCCAAACAAAGAAGGCTGCCGGATTTTTCAACAAAAACTCAATTTTAATGTCGAAAATAGCATAATTTGCAAAATCAGATATGCGTGCAGTCATCTCGGGGACGTTACGCACCTAATGACGTATCATACGTAGCCGAATGCCCTCCCCCTCTTGAGATATCCTCCGGACACGGTGACGGAAGTTGCATTCAAATGCACACACACAGGAACTATTTTTTTATATTAGTTGAACATAGTCATATATTACCAAAAACACTATTGAAACATTTTTTATTTGCTCCGTAGGCATTTCTAAATTCACATAAAAAACTTTTTCCGAGGTTTGCTTTCCAGGCTTCGCCGATCTGCCGGTACAGTTGTGCGAGGGTCGCCACGATGTTCACCACCTTTATGGCGATGACAGACTCTGTATGATCCGTCGCGAGCCCTTCGTGAGTTGACCCTCCTGTGGGCCCGATTGACGTTTTTCATAAGAGCGATGAGGGCCTGTTCATCACTATCAGTGGGGACAGCATCCTGCTGTTCACCTGCGGCTACAACACGCGAAGGTAATCGTTTGTAAGGATGTACACTTGTTTTTTAAAAATTTCGCAAATTTTGCAAAAAAAGGCTACGTGCGGTATTTAAAATCGGTTTCTTTATCGAAAACTTGGGCTCATTTTTTTCAGGAGATGGTGCTTTTACGTTATCGGGGGCAAATTTTTTTCTATGTCTAGAAATGCCTGGCCTAAAAAATAGTATTTGTGTGTATGTGCCACTTTGTGTCCACTTCCGTCTGTCTCTCCGGAGGATGTCCGATAGAGGATGAATTTTCAAGTATGTAAGATGCCTCATTAGGTGCGCAATGGTCTTCGGATGACTGCACGCATATCAGATTTATCGAAATCACCTATTTTCGACATTAAAATTAGGTTTTTGTGAAAACTTCTTTGTTAGAAAACAATTAACATAGACCGGAAGCGGGGATTCGACTATATAAAGGCACAGAAGAGGTTGATTTTCATTTTTGTCATCTGAATTCAGGACAATTATGCAAAGTATCAAGAATAGTATCAAGAATATCATAAAATCGGACGGGGCCAGGGTTGAAAAGTCGCGAAGCGGCTTTTCAACCCTGGTTTCAACTAAAACCATCTAAAAAACTTAAAAGCATCCTAATTTTGCTCAAAATCGGCCATTTTCGGACGAAAAATCGATATTTTTGATATCAACTATAATAAAAAAAGTAGAGGCGTCCGTCTGTGTGTGTGAAGCCGAATTCAACTCGAAGGGGAAAGGAGCTAGAGCTTAGGTCTCTTCGGATTCGGATAGAGCGTGGTCAGAAACCCCCAAACTGATAAAAAAATTACGAAAAAGTTTTTGTTTAAATTATTAAAATTAACTTTGAAAGTGGCGCCTTAATAAAACGAGTGGGGGCCCCTCTCCCCGGGAGGCCACGCCCCCTTTCTCTTCGCCCCTCTTCCCCAGGCCCCTTCGCGCGCCCAGATGCCTTTTTGAGTTACTTTAATACTTTTAATACTTTTTAATTATGTTAATTAATTATTTAAATTATTTAAAGTATCTAAAGCCATCAGGAAGGTATTTAGGTAGTTTTTGAAGGGGATTTCAGCCATGGGGGGTATCTGAAGCCATCAGGAGGGTATCGAAGTAGTTTTTTAAGAGGAGTTCGGCTATGGGGAGTAGCTGAAGCCATCAGGAAGGTATCGAAGTAGTTTTTTGAGGGGAGTTCGGCTAGGGGAAGTCTCTATAGCCATCAGGAAGTTATTAAAGTAGTTCAGGTATCTGAGTTTTTGTCGGGGTTTGACTAGAGAAGGTATCTGAAGGCTAGCGTGGGTATTGAGGAAGGTAGAGATGTAATGTGGTGGCGTAGAACATGGAGGGTAGCCCAAAGGCCAGCCGATTACAGTCGCGAAGCGGCTGTAATCGGCTGGTTTTTTAATAAAAATTTGCAAAGTTTTCACGTTTAGGAGTAGTAAAAAACATTCAGAAACGCTTCCACTATTTATATGTAAAAAAATAGGTCCTAAGAAACGGTCCAGTGAAGCGGTTCTTATAGCTAACCTAACGCCTTCTAGGCATCGAAGCTGGCAGCAGTGCTGCGATTTCATCAGGGCTGCCGATGAGGCGTCGCTCAGGATGGGAAAGGCAATGAAGCCGGGAGCCGACAACGGGATTGTGGCAGCGGTACGTCTTAACGGTGACTCGAGATCACCATGTTATAGCCCGAGGTGATGAAGTACCGTGGCGAGACGGTCGTACAGGAATGGGTCAACTCGGAAAAGTACAACGAGCTGTCGACCCGCGAGGGGCTTGCCGATTACATGGTAATTGGCAGCTTTCGTCCTTTGGTAATGCTTCAGGTCTACGGCTGGTACCCCTACTACTACCACATCATCGGATGGCCATACCCGGTGAGGAACTTTGCTTAATTGTCTACGGGAGAGAGAGGGGACAGGGAGAAAGGGAGAGGGATGGAGAGGGGGAGGGGTAGTGAGAGAGAGAGATCGGGAGAGAGAAAGAAAGCGAGGGACATGGAAAGAGTGAGGGCTGCGGAGCTACTGTAAATAAATAAATAGAAATAATTGGGTTCTGGACTGTTAGCGGGGGCGACCAAACTTTTCACTGTGACCCTCTATAGGGGTATAACAAAATATAAACCATTTTGCTAGCCATTTACATAATTTTTACTTGCAAAATAAAATCAAGAATTATAAAATTTGGGAAAATTTTCAAAATCTATAAAAAAAAATGACGAAAAAAGTAAAAAATTGTTTGATATTCTACAATGGTTCAAAACTATTTTTTGTAACTTTCAAGCACTCAAAAACTACTAAAAGAACTATAAAATACATAATAAACCATCAGCTGATAGTCATAGGTGGAAAAACACAAAGTTGTTTTCTCCCGGCTAAAAACCTAAGTTGTCCCCCCCCCCGCTAACAGTCCAGAAGCAACTGTTGCTAGCAAGAGAGTGAGGGCGAGAGAGACAGCAAAGCTTCCACAACCTCTTTTTCAGCCACACGAGGTTGGATTTCGACCCGACCCGATCATGTGCGCCTACGCCGACCTGTCCGAGAAGTAGCCCTGCAATGAAATGATCCCATTCTGATTGCCCGTTCTTTTTATGATACTCAGGAACCGATGGGTCCCATTTTGTACTGAATAAAGCATTATTGTGTGGTGCTCACTCTGCTCCCGACTGCAATCCGGCTACTTAAAGAGTAACTGCATGAATGTTCCGTGGCTGCTCAAGGAACAAATATTCGGTGATTTGCGCGTGGTACACATAGTCCGCAGCAGTGCTACGCAGCTACCGGAAGGACGACTATCATTACAAGCAGGGCAACCGACATTGCAACCTTTTCAGCAGACCTTCGCTATTTTCTATTTGAGTGCTATTTGAGTGGTTCTTTCGCATTATCGGGTGGGGGGGGATGAACCATCTTTTTTCTTAGGAGTTAGTTTTCCAACTATAAATAGGGGAAATGTTTCAAAATGGCTTTTTCGACTTGTTTTGAAGGCTACAAAAATGTTTTTAAAACATTGTAAAATATCGAAAATTTTGTTAAGTCATTTTTCATCGATTTTTGACCAAAAAGTCAAAAATTTGCGAAAAGTGCCTGTTATGTTGTTATTGCAACTAAAAATTATTTAAATGGCTATAAAAATGGTTTATATTTTCGTATACCCCTATAGAGGAGCACAGAGAAAAGTTTGGTTCCCCCCGCTAACAGTCCAGAACCCGATAATTTCTATTTATATATTTACAGTAGCCCCAGCCCTTTTGCTCTCGTTCCTCGCTAACTCCCCGCATCTCTCTCTCTCCCTCTCTCTCTCTCTCTCTCTCTCTCTCTCTCGCTTTCCTTTCACGGATCTAAATTTGACTCCGAAATTCAAATACGCCGCATTTGCCACAAAAAGATGCCCAAATTGGTGATTTTTCTACTCGTTTGCCACCGATCGGTGGCACTCCTACCCTTTATTCGTATTCGGACGTATTCGAGTCAAAATGTCAAGGACTCCGGTATGTGCTTTGCCGAAAAAAAATTGAAAGTGCTGCTAGGCTTCCGCGTCGATGAGCATCGCCGCGTCGCCCTCCATCTGCATGGGCCGTAAAAGAACGGTATCACCCAAACAAATGTCCCTATAAATTCAAAATTCAGATTGCCACATCGCCGATCGTCTTCTCACCCACCGGTGTGCCGGCTGCCAAGAAGTCGAGGACCCTGAAGGTATTGCGAAGCGGTTTCAAGCTGGACGATGGTTCTGGGGACTGTAGCTGATTGGGGGGGGCTTGGAAAGAGGAAACCAAATTCTGTTTTAGTACCTATCCTAAACCTGAACATACCTGTTGACGAAATATTATTTATTTAAGTTTAGTGTTTTTAGTAGGTTTTCTGTGCTAGAAAATTGGGAGCTATTGATGTTGGGGGCATTTTTTAGGCCTCCACCGGGCCCAATTTTCCGCGCTGAACATTTTTACGGTGTCATAATCGTTTACACATTCTACTAACCATGTTTCAGTAACAAATTTTATCTTAACATAACAACTTTAGAAAATATAACAAAAATTACTCGCATGGGTAAAACTCGGCAACCTGCGACCAAAAATGATAAAATGGATCTTGTGAAAATTGTTGGCGCCAAGCGAATTCGTCTAGGTAGTCCTGGTATCTCTCATTTGACCTGCAATTCATGCCATTCTTCGCCTTGATCATCTTCTTAAGTCGGTTCCACATTGATTCAATGCCTTGCGTGTGACAGCCAGTCCGGGGTCGACAGTTACGTTGGTGATTCACCGTGTAATGTTGGAATGCTTGAGGAAGCAAGGTCAGACCCGTGTACGCTCTCCACCTATCAGAATGGATAATTGAGCCTGACGGACATATTTCTGAAGAATAGGAATTAGCGGGCCGCATCACGTTTCGGAACCAGCTCCAGGAATCCGAGGTGGGAACCCTGCTCGATTCCGCCGAAGAGCCACATGCGCCGCTGTCCCGGTAGGCGACCGACATTATACTTCCTCTTGCTAATCGCGGTTTCGTCGATCTGACCACGATTCCGGGTCCGCCTATCGTTCGTGGATATTTGGTGAAAAACTTCGCAAAAATATCCCTAATCCATTGTGCCCATTGGGCGCGCATCGTGTGAGATTGAGCATTGGTATGCTGCTTCTTCAAGTGTAATCTTCATGCGTAGATAATAATAGGAGAAGAGCACGACTAGTTTTGGATCTTCATGTGCCTTTTCAAAATAGGTTCCCGCGTAAAAACCCAGTTTGTTCACGTTACCACGGGCACGGCATCGGCCCCTGTTGCACTCCCATTTTCGGACCGATCCAGGGTGTCCTCCTGCATAGCGTTTCATATCATCGTTACCGCAGCTTGGGCAGGTGCGCTTCTGATGGAGGAGACCAATTTGCTGGAGCCATTTCTCAGTGACATCATTTGGGCCTTGGATGTGTCCGTGTAACTCCAACAAAGTTATGTCGCGCAGCGCTTGCAATCTATTGGCCATTATTGCCAAAATAATGGAAAAGTAGATTTTATTTCTCATTTCTCCTTTTATAGGCAGCGGTAGTGCGTTTTAGCAAACTAGCAACCGTAAAATGTTCAGCGCGGAAAATTGGACCCGGTGGAGGCCTAAAAAAATGCCCCCAACATCAATAGCTCCGAAAATTGGAACAATTAAATTGGTAAGAGTTTACTTTACCCCCCCCACACACAGCCGAAGGGTCTCCAAGTTGTCGGTATTTTCGCTTATTTTGTCGGGATCTTTGCAAAGCCATTCGATAGAGCGTCGAAAAATATATTAAGCGTTTTAATTTGAGCCTACTATAATGTAAAATAAAAAAGTTATAGCCAAAAACTTCCGGCTGGGGGGGGGGGGTAAAGTACACTCTTACCGAAATTTTTCCGCATCGACATTGCAGTTATTTTTTCGGGTAAAGTAATGTTTACGAAAAATGGTTTATATTTTGGCCGTAGAGAAACACAGGGAGAAATTTTGTTTGCCCCCCTGCGACCCCCGCGAATGGTCCAGAACCTCGACGATTCCCGACACTGACCCGTCTCTTGGTTAGACAACTCTTAAATCCACCATTGCAGAAGCCCCTCAACACGTTCATCTCGTTCGACCAGTTCAAGCAGATGCCACTCGACATCTGGTTGTTGCTGATGAACGTGCTCAGCCCGCCCGAACTCCTGAACTTGGCGCACTCGCATTCCTTCTTCAAGGTTAGACAACTCCACAAGCGATTGAATGAAATTCTAGGAGTTGATCACCAAGTCTCCAAAGCGATGGGGCACCCTGAAGGAGTGCACGAAGGCCGACCTAACATACAGCCTTTTCTCTGTTGAGGCAAAGTAGCGGTTGTGGTTTCGCCTGAGATTTGACGTTTCAGGATGTACAAACTGACGCGCAGCGGGGCGGACTGGTGGCCGGAAGAGAAATATCTGCTCGCATACGGTGATGAATACGGGTAAGAATTGGATGCTTATAAGCTTGCAATCTGAGATCGACGATGGTCTGTTCAATATTCTCACCCTATGCTCGGACCTGAGACTCATCCGGTACCTTTAGCTTCAAGCGCGAACTGGACCGCGGCTATCCGCCGTACGAAGGCCGACGGTGCCACCATGTGTCGCCAGACGTGGATCGCGAGCCTCCGGCCGTCGAAGACCTCCAGATACTGCTCAACAACGCGACTTTTGATCAAGTGCGTTGGTTCTTCAGCTTCCAGATACAGTTCAACTGTTCCCCGGGAGGACCTAGATTGTTTGATATCCAGCGTTTTAGCTGTTCGTAGGCATAAAACTCTACATAATTTAATGAAAAGTCAATTTTACGTCGAAAAATAGACTTTGCCGACTCAAAAATTCTCACGACTCCAATTTTTTTAAACATCTTTCGAGCTTTTTGGAGGTTTTTGTACCTTAAGCATATTTAAAACTAATTAAAATCAGGACAAAAACAGTTATTTTGACGATTCTGTACTGTTAGCGGGGCACCAAATTTTTTTGATTCACAATAGAAACCATTTTTTTACAGCGTGTTGCACAGTTTTCAGCTTTCAAAAACGCAGAAAAACTTACAAAATGTACCAAAATTTAATTTGTGATTTTTGGCCAAAAATGTATGGAAAATGACTAAAAATTTTTTTCGGTTAACAGGTTGGAAAACAAAAATTGGTCTCCCCGGTCCCCCCCCCGCTAACAGCCAAGTACCGCGTTGTGTAGTTTGGATTCGGCAGCGGCTGGCCGGTGCCCGAGGCCGAGAAGTACGAGAAGGCGCCCTACATTCGAGCTCAAACCGCGATGCTGCCGATCGAGGGCCCGAAAGAAGAACTGTGCCGCCAGATTGGTATTCAGAACTTTGCATAACAGCATTTTTTTTGTAGCCACGACAAAGCCGTACTGTTTGGCTGTACACTCCAGCCCGGGCGAGGCTGGTGGTGAACTCCGTTCTACGATTAACGATGTGGTGATGCTGATGCCGGTATTACCTCAAGTTAACAAAAAAATTGTTTTTTAGGACTTGAAGAAGCTGTGGGTCCACCTTGGCCGTGAGATCTGCGAGTCTGAGTGCCTCGTCGACGTGAAGATGCCCACCATCGTCGTCTACATGGCGCTGATGAAAGAAGGTAGGGGTTCCTTGGTGTTTTGAGAGGAAGAAGGGTTTTTCTAACTGGTTCATTAGCGGGGGGGTGGGATTTTTTTCAATTTCAACCCCCCTCCCCGCTGACGAACCAGAGCGTTTTTTGTCGATAACCACTACAAATCTTTTTAGTGCCCGGCGCCAAAGACGATTACTACAAAACGTACGAGCCAGACGTCGCGCTGCGCGAGCAGTTCTACCACACACTGGTGCCCACGTTGCAGACCATGATCCTGGTAGGGCTTTCAGCCCCGTCCCGAGACATTGTTTTGCAGCAATGGGCGAAGCGGGAACGCGATATTGACCACGTCGTGGTGAACGCGCTGCGGACGGCTGCCGGAGAAGACACGTACATCACATCGGACGACTGCCCGGAAATTCTTCGAGGTTGATTGGCTAAGGACTAATATGGCTCCCTGCGCGCGTAGTCGGAACGCTTTTCATTTAGGTCTCGGAGCTAAATCTGGAGCGAGAGAACTTGAGCAGAAGCCCAAACGGGGGAACCCCGAATAAACCCGGACTCAGAATTGGCCAAAAATTTGCACACAAATAAAATCGACCACGCTGATCACCACCTCGTTGTCCAAATTTGATCCTGATCTTTAAAACGCAAAATATGATCTAAAAGCTTTTAAAAAATGTTGAAACAAATCGACATTTTTGTCAAAATAGGCATTTTTTGGTCGAAAAATTGTTATCGGGGGGGGGATTTCGCTAAAACATAAGTATCTCGAGATTTAAAGGACTGAGCCTTGGTTTATGCGGGGGTTTCCTAGCAAGCACCAGGCTCTTGCAGAGCTCCGGAAGCTGCCAGACAAGCTGTGCGAGGGGCACGTCGACCTTCACCGTATCCTTAAGCAAAGGGGAACTTGCCTGATCCGGCGCGAGCCATTCGTGAGTTCATATCCAAGGCATCCCGGCTGACTTTCCGCCTCAGAGCAACGAGGGTCTCCTCGTCACTACGCAAGGGAGCAGCATCATCCTCATCACCTGTGGCTACACATCGCACAGGTGGTTGTTTCTCTCGAGATCATCGGAACAAATTTTTTCTAGAAACACTATAAAAATACGTAACAACAGACCCCGTTAGGTGTACGAAACTGTGGCAACGTTTTTCAGACACCGCACCTGGCTCCAGTACCGGGAACAGAACAACGCCGCTGACAACATGGGGCAGAAAATGGAGGCGGCCCGAGAGCGGCAGTTTTGCGATGATCGGGATTGGGTTGTGGAGGAGGTGCGTCTTACTTCTGTGACGAAGTACGCCGCTGCGGCACGGCACCACAGGTTTCGGTTTAGGTTTAGGCTTGCGCTTAGATTAAGCTTAGGCTCAGGCGCTCAGCCTTAGGTTATTCTTAGGAATAGGCTTAGGCTTGGGATTAGGCGTATGTTAGCCTTCGTTTAGGCGTCGGCGTCAGCTTATCTGTGTGAGTATTTAGGCCTAGTTTAGGCTTCCGCTGAGGAGTATGATTAGGCTTAGGAATAGCAGGCGGGGAGTAGTCGTGGTGGGCAGCAGCCATTAATTCCGATGTTGAGAGCAGTTTTTTGTAAAGTGCCCCGAAAAATAGCTTTAATGCTGCTTATAACGAACACCGTAAACATTTTTCTTATTCTGATATCCTTGTTTCAGCGCTCGGTAGCGATGCAACGCTGCGAGACCATCGCCAACGAATGGGTCAACAGCGACATGTACAAGGCGACGACGACGCGCGACATGTTTGTTGATTGCATGGTATTTGTCAGTTGCCGAGCGACGATGATTTTTCAGGCGTACGGCTATAGTCGCCAGCGAGGCAGTGCTTGGCCGTACTCGGTAATGTTTTTGGGCGCGTTGATTTTTAGTAGAAAGAGAGAGAGAGCGCGCGAGAGAGAGAGAAAGAAGGAGAGAGATAGAGATAGAGACAGAGAAAGAGCGAGAGAGAATGAGAGAGTAAAACGCTGGATGAAAATCTTTTTCAGCCTGACCACTCGGGAATGCGCGCCGACCCGATCCTGTCCGCCTACAGCGACCTGTTCAAGAACCAAAAAAACTGACCATCATCGTGCTTTCTTTTTTTATACTACTCATCACCCGAATACTCGCATTATGATTGGAATAAAGAGGCATTGTCCCAGAAATTATAACATTCCACCTTATAATTTGGGGGTGTATCTCTGTGTGTATGTGTCCGGCGCATTTTCGGGGCCCCGGAAGACTAATTTGCATAATGCTAAAAAAATACAAATTCCCTCATCCTTGAAAGTTATACGCGCGAGTGTGGTCTGGGGAGGGGAGGGTCCGAAGGACCCGAGCCATCGGAAAGTCAAATTTCTCATGCAAAGGCCGCATTCCAGCGCCCAAGGCCCGCGAAGCGAGATTTGGGCGCTGGTTCCACATAATTTTTCCATCAAAATAGGTCTATCGAAAGTCCAGGCTCCTTTGCCGCCATTTTGCAAGCGTTCAGGGCGTTCCCCGGCCCCAAATCTGTGCTTTTTGCTGGTTGGAAAGCTGCTGGCGCTCCCCATCCCGGGGAGCTCCACCAATTTCTCTGCCCAGTTTGCTCAACTCGACGTCAGCGACACCTCCCAGCAAGGAACACATACCACAGAATTCCGCGCATGAGATTGCCCCGGATATATCCGCACACATCATGGCACAGTAGGGCACAAAGCTATAACTGGGGCTGCAATATAAGTCGAAATTTTTGGGGTTTTGAGGATCGCTTGGTTTATTATAGGCTTGGCATCGGTTTCTGCTTCTCTCTCTCTCTCTCTCTCTCTCTCGCTTTCTTTTTCTCTCTCTCTCTCTCTCGGTCTTCCTCTCTGTCTCTCGCAATGGGCTCATTTCAAACTTAGTTTTCGTGTCGGCCGGCCTATATCAGTTGTCTGCTCCTTTGATCAAACGGTCAACATTTTCTCAAGCTGCAATACCGGACTCACAGGTTGAATGGTGATACCAGGCCATAAACGTTTTTCTGTACGCACCCGGGGTGCTCATTTGGAAACGCTCTCGATTTTCCGTAATCTGGCCTTGATTTTCAGGGTTAATGGTGGCGTACGGTTATTTTTGAAACAACGTTTTGGAATTACGATCCGAAAAGTTGTCTGCAAAAAGTACCTGAACCCAAGCAGCTACGCGCGAACTTGTTGTCCAAACTGAAATGTGCACCCCGGGAAACGGATGATGATCGAGCCCGGAAATTTATCCGTTTTGCTCATGCTCAAGTCTCTAGGTCTGTGCCCGCGCCGGGGGTTCGGGCTAAATACGACCTAATTTGATACAGATAGACCAACTTTTACAGGGATAAGTCCTCAGGAAAACCCTGACGCCCAGCCGGGTGATGAAAATGGCGCGATAGCGGGGCCGGGGTGCAAACATGTGGATAAATAGCTTTTGGCCGGGCGGGTGGCTCGCAACCAAGGCCAAGTGGCGGCCTGTGGGAATCGGAAGTGCTGGCGGCTGGGGTGGTGCAGCAGGATAATTTATGACATTTTTGTTGTTGGGCGTGGCGCAAATTGTGTTCGGTTTCGAAAGAAGAAAATGGGGATCAGGTCAAGAAAAGCAGGAAATTAGGCACGGGAAAATCCGGTGATTCTAAGATATTCAGCCCTAGTTTCGCTACCATAATGTCGAAGTCCCTGGCTCAAAAGTCGAAAGGTTTTGAAAGGTTTGGAATTCATAATGTCGAAAGTACGTTGCTGATAAGAGTGCTTCATGTCAGGAAGTATCTACTCTTATACCTCCCGTATATTCTTATACCTTCTTACACCTTGTCCCTATCAAGAAGTATACTTTGTGTAGTTGAATTTATGCCGTGCCATACGCAACGCATTGATCCGCTAATACATTGGGTAACCAGTTATAACCCATTTTTGGTGAGGGCCGAGGTACGTTTGCGCTGCGTAAGTCAGGCGATGAAGTGAAGTAAAAAGTTGCAGCTTTTCTGAAACTGACAGCGGGTGAAGGAAACCAAAGAAATAATTATTCGCGCTGTGAGCCCGCCGACAGTATCGATCGCCACGCGCCTAGGGGGCGGGAAAAGCCGTGGTGCATCAAAGGTGCCACTTGTCATGAGTTAACTTAGATGATGGACTTAAGGTATACATGGGCGGTCACCCCGGTGGTTCACCCTGGGGGTGACCGCCGCTCACCCCCCTGGGGGTGACTGCAATGGCACCATGGGGTGACCCTCCGGTGCAAGGTCATGCAAGGTCCTCAGAAAGCAAAGAGGAACCTTCGGACGAAAAAGCAAAAAATAAAAATCGTGAGCGGGTTCGAACCCTCGTTAGATTTCCCGGAGGCCGCCTGCTACACCACTAGGCCACCAGACCATGGTGATGGGGAGGCGGGGAAGGCCTATGAAGCTATGGCCGAAAAAATGCAAAATGTATGCAAAAACTTAAAATGCTTATAACCCGGCGCGGTTATCGTATCAGCAGCTGAAAGTTACACCAATCGATTTGTCTCGTCGAGCTCGATAAGTGTGCAAATTTTCAAATCCGAATTCGATTCCCAGCTTAGACCATCTCCTTGTAAGGTTAAAAAGGCTTAAAAGGCATCCTGGCAAACCTTTCTATAGATTTTTTTGCACACCGCACGCAACGCGTCCGCCGTTCCATTCCGTTACAAAGTAAGGCCTTTGCAAGGCTGCGAACAGGCGCGCGATAGAACTCAATCGCGTGGAAATTTTGCCTCACCTCTTGCCCTTATTTTAAAGGGACTAGGAAAAGCGATATTCGACCCTTGACTTCAACAGCGCCAACAGCTAAAGACCATGTCTAAGAATCGGACGCACTTTTAGAAGCATTTGGCTGCGATGGACTTCGAGGTCGTTCTTATCTATCTTTCGTTATTGTTGCGTCATGCGTTATTGTCGAAGCCAATGTATTTAGCAGCACAAAGATTGTGTTTCTACCCTAACACAAGCCACAACCCCAACCACATCATAATTCGAAGCTTCAGCGAAAGTTGGAGCCTGTTCCACCAATTGCCGGATCGTATTTTGGAGCTTCACGTAGTCCCGCGCGCGCCATACAGCTCGATTCGCGCGCCCGTTTTCGTTGCGCGAGACAGTTTTTGGGGCGGGGCCTGCGATGCAGGGGGGATGTTTGGGGTGGATTAGGTTTATTATGACACCATCACGGCGCATCACCTCACCCAGCCCCCCAATTGGATTGGTTTACCCGCAAAATATTGTGACTTTTGGGGCATGATACCATCAGGTAGACCCCGGCGCCACTTGGACGATTTTGGACACTTGGGGAACGCTAAGTTCTGGCTTGTAGATTGTGTACTGGTGGACAAGAGCCGTAACCTACCCGTCATTTAATTATTTTGGTGTCTTGGCTTTCCGTTTCTGCCCCTTTATATAAGCCGTCTCAACTTCCGGTTTAGGTTAATTTTTCCTAACAAAAGTAGATGTTCGAGATTTACACCAAAACCTAAAATTTATAAGCGAAAATATATCTTATTTTTCTGACTTTCATACGCGCCAGTTTTATTGAGCCCATTACGCAAATAATTACGAATAATCGGTACCATAAAATCCTTTCGTTTACCCGCTCGAACTGACGTAAGTTGCATGGGAGTGCAGACAACAACTTGTTTATTTCTTAAAATTGTATGAAATCCGACGTTTTCGAAGATTTCCGAGGTACTTTTGGACGAAAAATTTCGGGCTTTTAAAAGCCATCGTTTCAAAAAAACTTTAACCGGAAATTGACGTTTCGTGGTTTCGGGAAGTGACTCAGCGCTGACGGTGCCGACTGCTTTACTTCCTCGCCGAAAACTTTTTTTATCGGGCCTGGCTGTTTAAAAGCAACGCGGTCATTCACTTTATATTAAACTTTATTTATATTAGATTAAATTTAATATATAATACTACATGGATTGATAAGCAATTTTTACTCAGGATTTCGATTGCCTGATGTTGTCCTTTCCGGATATCTTTTGGGTGCCAAATTCCTTTTTTTAACGTCAAATACTAGAGCTTGCTTCGCCAAATCGGAATTCCGGAATCACGCTATACTTTATTCTGGACCACTTTGCGTTGAAGAATTTCTGGAGTTGGGTGCAGCCAGATCATGTGTGTGAATGGAGAGCCACTTGAGAAGACAGTCCTCAACCCCTGGCATCTCCATATTCGTTTGTTCTCTTCCCTTTGCTCTCTCTCTATCTCTTTCTCTCTCTCTCTCGCTTCGTATTGTACAACCGGAAACTTCAAGAGGCGGGCGAGACAGGGCGGTAGCTGCCAAAAAATGACCATCCTGGGATGGGCGGGGAACGGACGCTCGAGTGCATATTTGAACCCTGGCATCTGACACTTTCCCGGGTCAGCCCTATCGGAATTTTTTGGTAACTAGAGCATTTCGAAGCAGCTTTTTATATATTTCAACCCATAAAACTAGAATTTCTTTTTTTAACCCCAACCCTTTTTATACCCATAAAGCAATTTTATTTCAGGCAAAAAACATTAGCGATTCTTGAATTCCTGGAATGAATAATCGCGAAATTACAGCACTTTTAACGATTTCGGCTTCAATTTGAAGTATTAGAGGTACGTAAGAGACCCAAAAGCCAAATTTCCCAGTTGTCCAAATCCTAAAAGCAAAATTTCACTCAAAATTTGCAGACGATTTGAGCTCTCATTTCATGATACCTGGAAAGCAAGACAACTTGGGCAAAGGTGTAATTCGTACAGCTAAAGCCGCTTTTTTGTAATCTATCTATTTTTTTTTTTTGGCTCCAGCTCCACTGAGGCATTGCAATTGAAAGCCGAGCTATAAAACTAGGAAAACTCGGCTTTATAACCATCACTCTCTGTTGCTTGAGTTTCGCTGATTACAGTATTTTAAAGGAACATGCTGTCTTGAAAGTCAGGCATGGCTTTCGCTTGTCTCTCCGTATGCAAAGCTCCCTCCGATTCTATACCCTTCCTGCATACAGAATTCCAATTATATCTGACCCCGTTCTTCCAAGGCCGTTTGTTTGCTCGGGCGCCGGCAGGAACCAGACGGCTTTTTTGCTTCAATCTGTTCGCAATTCTTCCAAAAGCCGTCTGACACCTTCTTGATGCATTTAATTTCTTTTTCAGCTCCAGAAAACAGATAAAAATGCCGCCATCTACTGCACCGGCAAGTCCTGCTGAAACTGGTTGGTCTATTTTTTATGATTTACTTGAGTTTAGATCTCAGTTTTAATCAGTTAAATAAGACTTAAATTTCGATTTTTAGTCGTCTTGGTGACGGGCGCCTCTGGTTACGTCGCTTTGCATTGTGTAAATCAGCTATTAGCCGCCGGATATCGGGTTCGAGGGACGGTGAGGAGCAAGAGGAATGAGCAGAAGGTCGGTTTTTGCCGCATTGCTGGATTTTGATTTCATGGCTCATTCCCAGAAAGCCAATTTTTACCCTAAGGTCCTATTCTAGGTAGCACCCCTCCTTCGGTTGCCACATGCTAACGAACGGCTTGAACTTGTTGAAGCAGATTTGTTGAAGCCGGAAGGATGGGACGAGTAAGTGAGAGAGGGGGAGAGAGCGAGAGAGAGAGAGGGAGAGAGAGTGAGAGCGAGGGAGAGAGATAGAGCCCTCGATAGAGAGAAAAATAGAGAGATATAGATAGAGAGCCACAGAGAGAGAGAGAGCGAGAGACAGAGAGAGACAGAGAGAAAGAGAGAGCCAGAGATAAAGAGAGAGCGATTGAGCGAGGCCTATTTAAGCACCGGATTGCAGTGTCGTTTCCGGCTGTACGTACGTACTGCACGTAGCCTCTCCCTGGCCAATCGTAGCTGACGAATCCACAGTGAAAACTGCCGTAGAAGGCACCCTATGCGTACTCCGATCCTCAGCCCGGTGTCGCAGCGTCAAAAAAGTTGTTTTGACCAGCAGCTGCTCGGCCGTCAACGGTAGGTATTCAAATTTTTGTGGAAAGAGAGAAGGAGAGAGATCGAGAAAGAGCGAAACGGAGCGAGATTGAGAGTGACAGAGAGGGAGAGACAATGGACAAAAGAGGGGTCACCGAACCGTTTCCACCCAAAAAAGACACCGCATTCACTGCCATTGACATCCTTTGAAAGGAAGGAAGATAAAGCGAAAAGAGCCGGTCAGCCGTGTCAAAATTGTTGTCTGTAATGTTAGATTGTTATCGCTAAATCTAAAATCTAAAATAGGATTTTTGAGAAAGATATCGACTTAAATTTCGTTTATTTAATAGTTCCCCTCGAAATCAAGTTGGACATAATTAAAATACTCTAAAATGTTTAAAGTTACGTTACTAGAAATTTTTGCAGTTATAACAAAAAATGCGGGTTTTTTGCGTATATTCGAAAACGCCTAGTTTTGGTTTTTAAAATTGGCTTTTAATACCTCTATATTATCTTCAAATTCGCATGTATCTTACCCAGACGCATGACGGTGTTTTGACCAGCCACATAGTACAATCACCTACAAAACCCGTCCCCGCAACGAGTTTATGGTGTTGTTTGCAGCACCCGCACCGGAAAACCCGTCGATCCCCCAGCAGCATGTACACAAAATCCTTCGGGTATTTTCGTGTGTCGCGCTGTGTTGAGGTTGATTGAAAAAGACGCTCCGCGGGGGATGCTATTTTCGATCCAAGTGCAATCGCCGAGACGAATTTTGATGTCGCGGCCCCTAAAAATTTCCCAGAAAATTGAGGGGAGCTGAGAAAGCGGGGCGAGAGAAATTGAAAAGCCAACTGATTTTTTTGCAGAGATTAAGAGATGAACAGTGTCAAATGTTTCGCTGCCCTAGCGGCTAAAAATTGCCTGAAAAGGATCATAAAATCATTAAAATTCCAAAATACGATTAAAAAAAGTTTGAATTAACGCCTAGTTTCAGATGGCCACGAGAATGATGAAGCTGTTTTCGACGAGACCTACTGGACAAACCTGGAGCACCCGAAGGTCGAGTATTATGCAAAATCGAAGACATTGGCTGAGCGAGCAGCCTGGGAATTTTGGCAGAATCTGGATGGTAGGGAATTGATGTCATTCTCGCTGTTTTTCCATATCTCGTCCTCTCTCCCTCGCTCTCCCTCTCTCTTCCTCGCACTCTCCCTCGCTCTCTCGCTCTCCCTCTCGCTCTCTCTCTCTCTCTCTCCCTCTCTTTTTGGCTCTCTCCCTCATCTCTCTAGCTCTTTCTCTAGCTTCACTCTCACTCTAACTCTCGCTCTTGCTCCCCTTCTCACGCTATAATTCTCACCTTCTCTCTGACTGTCTCGCTTCTAAACGCTAAATTTAGAAAACAACAATCGCTTCGAGCTGACAGTCCTCAACCCTACCTTCATCACGGGACCCGTGCTTTCGGATGTCGAAAATGGAAGTTGCACGGTAAGTTTTTAGGCATCTAAAATAGATAAGGCATATAAAAAGGCAATAGCGTAATGCGATTTAACTTCAGGGCATGATCAATATTTTTAGATCATCGGTCGAATGATGAACGTCAAAACGTACTTGGCATCTCCCAAGGCTTGTCTGGGTTTGGTGGATGTTCGAGACGTCGCCAAGGCACATATTCTGGCAATGACCAATGAGGTATGGTCGAGAGAGAGAGAGGGAGAGAGAAAGAGAGAGAGAGAGAGAGAGAGAGAGAGAGAGGGTGAGAGAATACCGACCTGCATAGACCCTGAACTTTCTAGGCTTCAAACGGCGAGCGAATCCTCGTCCACGCCGACTCCGGCTGGTTCTCCGACATTGCCAAGTGGCTGTTCAAGGAGTTCAGGAAGCAAGGTTGGAGGAGTGTGGCTTTTGGTATCTTTTCTAATTCTTAGGTTATCCGATCACGTTCATCACGGCTCCAAATTGGGTGTTGAAGCTGTACGCCAAGCTCGGCATCGACCCGATCGTCGAAGCCGTGCTGCCAAGAGTTGGGCCAGAACTGCGTTTTGATAACACGAAGGTGGGCGGGATAGAGAGATAGATTAAGAGAGAGGAAGAGAGCCTGAGAGAGAGAGAGAGAGAGAGAGAGAGAGAGAGAAAGAGAGATCGAATCGGAGCTGCCCATTCCTTTAATCCTTACATTTCAGTCGAAACAACTCCTCAACATCTCCTACATGGATGTGCGACAATCCGTGATCGACATGATCTACTCCATGATCGAGCACGACATGATCAAGTCCACCAAAAAGTACCGAAAACACCAGCAAAAGCACCACTTCAACAAGTCCAAGGTCGAGCCGGTCGGCATGCTGCACTAGAGATTTCGATATTTGCTGGAAAATATCAAAATTTTCGACATTCTCCACCCTATCCCAGGTCCCGCTCAATTCTTTCTGTTGATCTCCACCTGCCGAAATTTGTCCTATGTATTTAGATTATTTGAAAATTGGAAAATACGATTTGTGCTCGATCACCCAAATTTTCCGCTTCATTCCTAATTTGGCGCTTTTGAAAAAACCCCAATTTGTTCTTGTCAATTACCCGGTTTTTCTGCTTATCCTACAAGCAATCGTGTACGCTTTATTAATGTTTTTGGCATAAATACTTGACAGAATCCGCTTGAGAACACTTAAATCAGTCATCGCCATTCAGTAAATCAAGCGGCTTCCAGTTGGGCAGGTAGTAATCCTCGTCTTTTTGCTGTCGCAGATAGTCCGGGGACTTTGCAAATTTTTTGTTATAATACACCTGGAAAAGCTCTGACTAGAGTGTACGTAACGTTTTTTACTTCGACATGTGAACGATGCATCTGCGCAAAGTATCCCGCCCACCAGCCGAACGTCGAGGAACCAGCTGGAATCCAATTATTTTTGGCCGCGCCACATGCGTGTTGCGTTTCCGGGTTTAGCCGAAACTTTTGAGCTTGTAGAAGCTTCTCTTATTACCTGTGATCACCACTTTATCGCAATACTTGCTGGCAAAATGCCAGGCGGCCACAGGGGGCGTTCCGGCAGCGTCGAGGACGTGGAGATGATCAGCTTGTTGTTTCAATCGTGGCTCCATATTCTTCAACCACCCCATGTCATCGCCAAAAAGGAAAAATTGGGCTAAAACAATTAGTTTTATTTTACTAGTCATTGTTAGTTTTTTTTGGTGTTGAAATATAAATGAAAAAAACTCGCCTGAATCTAGGACCCCCCCCCAGACGACTTTTCAATCTTTCTACCTCCTTTATTTTTATTTTTCGCTGCTTATGACCTAAATGCAATATATTCTTGCCAATTAGCGTACTACGAACATTTTCGTATACTTTAGAGCTCGCTAGCACAAAGGGGGGCCGTGATACAAAAGTTGATGTCGGCTGGGGGGGGGGGATCCTAGACTCTTACCAAAAACTTAGATGGCCTGAAAATCCACGTTGTAAATAGTTTTAACGTCGAAATGCGACTCTCGAGAACCTACTGCTATCGTTGGCAAAGTTCTTCAAAACTTCAGTGATAAAGGTTTCGGTCGTCGCTTGATGGAAATCTCCGACAAAGCCGGCTCTCCGTGTGTGAAGGCAGATTCTAGACTCTTTTATAAGCGCCGTGCCAGCCTTCTAACCTTGTCTTGTCCCCACGCAATGTATCAATCGGTGCTATGGCTGAGGAAATTTTTCCGAAGGTTTGGATGCCTAAATCGAAAAGATAGTATAAAAATACATGGTCTACCTGCTTTCAAAATTGGCTCGTACATTTTTCGCAGGCCGTAAAAGTATTTATAGCTCTAGATCCATTAGTCAAAATCATAGTTTGTAGCATGCCAACCTGTAAGAAATCTCCGTAAAACCAGACGGCCGGTTTCATATCGAGGATCAGGTTGGTTTTGGTCAACGGATCGTCATACAGACAACACTGGGAGATGCGGATCTCCGGGTTCTCGGATTTCTGAAAGGTATCGAGGCGCTTCCAAAGGATCTTTGCTAGCTTGCCCAGATGCAGATGATTAGCTTAAATTCCAGGCATCGGAAATTCAGGAATTTTCTCTTTGTTACCCTTTTCATTAATGCGCATTTTTGCGAGCTCGGAATTGACCTAAAGCCTACCAAATACTTGTCCGAGTTGTCGAGCGCACGATCTGGTATTATCCCCGGGAATAACGTCGTCAGCTCCCACATTGCCTTCTTACATTCCACGTTACAGTGTTCGTTACGAATCGAGAATATAGGTTGCCTAAAAAGTGTATAATCCTACTATCAATAAAAATCGTATACTAAAAATTTAAAATAGCGTAATATATCAATAGAAAAAATGCTTCTGTACCTATGCATTTTCCAGGCAATCCCCATCGAGGACAACGCCCCGAATAGCCGATTGCCAAGTCCAGTTCCAGATTCAAAAAATTGCCCGCGAGCGATTAAGTACTTTCTAAAGAGAAACTAAATCAATTTGAACTTCGAAAACCAAAAACCTAAAATTTGAAGACTAACCCGCTTTCCGTAACTCCCCATTGCCCCTTTGCTTTCGGGAATTCTTTGGGGAATTTGAACATTGTTGGGCATTCATTTTGGACGAGTTCCCGTAGTGAATCGCAGACATAGCTGAAAAGTGCTCAAATATCCCTGAAAAATTAGTGAACGACAGCAAGAGTCCGTAAAACCCAATTTGAAAAGACGTACTGTAATCGTTGGGCGTCAGCGCGAATAGAACATTTTAGAAAATACAGCAAGATAACAATATTATACCTCATCAGAAGAATAGTTCGTAGAACGTCGAATTTCCCCGTAGTAAAATACCGTACCCGAAACCGTCTCGCGCACAACTCTGGGAGACTTAGACGGTTTTCCGATTCAAAGCTCTCCTTAAAAATAAAAGAACCAAACAAGTGAGCCTTAGCCAAAAGGAACCCGAAATTTCCAGAGGCACCAGACACATTCCGGTTTTGTTATTAGCCGCGGACTCGCCCACTCGCCGTTGCGGTCGGTTGGAACACGCCGCAGAAAATGAGGTGCTGGGCTTGAAAGTGAACTTTTTGCGCGGCACCTCTCACCCGCTCTCTCTCCCTCCCTCCTCTCTCTCTCCCTCCCTCCTCTCTCTCTCTCTCTCTCTCTCTCTCTTCCCGAGTTCTTAAACTTGAACCGATGGCACCCTATTTTAAAGACCTTCTAGCCGTGTTGTACAATGGTGTGATGGTCAAACTAGGGTTGAAATTCCAATTCCAACTTTACCAGGGTTGAAAAGCCGCTTCGCGACTTTTTAACCCCGGCCCCGTCCGATCACATGATATTCTTCACTTTACATAATTGTCCTAACTTCACATGACAAAAAAAATGAAAAACAACCTCTCCTGTCCATTTATATAGTCAAATCCCCACTTCCGGTCTATGCTAATTATTCCTAACAAAGAAGTTTTAACAAAAACTAAAATTTAATGTCAAAAATAGGTGATTTTGATAAATCTGATATGCGTGCAGTCATCTCAAGACCGTTGCGCAGCTACTGACGTATCAAGCGTACCTTAAAATTTATCCCCCCGCGAGATATCCACCGGACAGACAGACGGAAGTGGATGTAAAGTGGCACACACAATACAGGGTGTCCCAAAAATAAACGACCAATCTGGGGTCATTCAGGGGCCCAGAGACCATTTGCGGGCCGGGCCGGGCCGGCCCGGCCCGACTCGGCCCGCAAATGGAATAACTCGATTCGGAGTAGCTCAATCAAGAAAACTTTTGAGGCATATCTACCATCCAAATCCAGAGGTGTATCCTACTATATATAAAAAAGTAGTGTCTGTGTGTGTGTGCCACTTTGCATCCACTTCCGTATCGTTGTTCCAGTCGTATCTCTTGAGGGGAAGAAGTTAGGGGTAGGTACGATATGTCATTAGGTGCGTAATGGTCTAGGGATGACTGCCCACATATCAGATTTATAAAAATCAGCCATTTTCGATATTAAATTTAAGTTTTTGTAAAACCCGCTTCGCTAGGAAAAATTAGCATTGACCGGAAGTAGGAAGTGGCCTATATAAAGGGTCAGAAGCGAATCCTTTTCATTTTTTTGGTCATCTGAATTCAGCGCAATTATGCAAAGCGTAGAACAGCATGCGGTCCAAAACGGGGCCAGGGTTGAAAAGCCGCGAAGCGGTTTTTCAACCCTGGTCAGACCCTAAATAACAAGAATCCTGACCTAAAACTCCCATATCTCGAGCACATTTTTAGTTAAAGGGCACGTTCAGGGACGTTTTTGGGCAAGAACGCAAAGAATTTCGCCGCGACCGGGGGTCGAACCCGGGCCTCCCGATCGGGAGACGCGGTCGCATACCAGTCAGCCACAGGTGCAGACTGGCGAGAGGCCTAGGGGCGCCCCACGCCGCAAAGGAGGGAAATTGCCTGTCACGCCGCGGCCAGGCAATGCGCGCGGTCCCTACGTCCATAGGGTGTACACGTTGCGACGAGTACACGGCCCTCCCTGAACGTGCGTTTTAAACATCGATATATTAACTAATCACTCGGTTTCCTTCCCCATAATACCCCGCCAACAGAAGTAGCAAAAATTCAAGTTGGATGCCCTTTCTACGATAATTTCCCCATGTGGCTCGAGTGTTTTCTGGTTTTGCCTGCAAAATTAGTTTTTCGGGTAAATGACTGTTCGGGGAAATGACTTTTCGGGGCAATGACTTTTCGGGGACATGACTGGCACCCGTGTCATCGGATAGAGCATCAAAAATTGTACTAAGAAATTTAATTTCAGCCCGAAATAAGACGGTGTATTTCAAATAGGCGGGGGGGGGAAGATTTAGGCGGGGGGAAACCGAACTTTTTTCCGCCCAAGCCCATATCCTACCTTATATAATTTTGGCGCGTATGTGTGTGTGTGTGTGTGGATGTCACTTTCGAGGCCCGATTTGAGGGCCTTCCCGTGTCCAAAATGCCCTAATTCTCCGTCGCCCGGGGGAATCGACCCTTCTCTTTCCGATGGCGTTCTCAGAATTTTCATAAAATACAAGTTTACAAAGTTAAAGCCGGTTTTATTCGTTTTTGGGGTCCGGGAGGGCTAATTTGCATAATGTGAAAAATAAGAAATTCCCTCATTCTTGCGAGTTGCACGCGCGCGTGTGGTGGGGGGGGGGGAAGGGGGTCCGCAGGACCCGAGCTGTCGGAAAGTCAAATTTATCATGCAAAGGCCGCATTCCAGCGCCCAAGGCCCGCGAAGCGGGTTTTGGGCGCTGGTTTTTTATATAAATAGTGGAAGTGTTTCTAAATTGTTTATAGCTATTCCTAAACATAAAAACTTTACAAAACTTAATTAAAAAATTTAATATTAGGTCGAAAAATCAATTTTTTTCGGCCCAAAAATGACCCAATTTTCAACTTTTCAAGCGTTTTTCTAACTTTTTAAAAAGCTTTTCCGATTCAAATAGGCTTAAATTTTGCTAAAAACAATGTGAAAACACGTTATATTTGGTTACTATCCCACCAGGGCCGACAAAAAAAAGTTCGGTTTCCCCCCGCCTAAATCTTCCCCCCTATTTGAAAAGCACCAATAAGACAATTAAACTTATTACTTTATTAAGCTAAAAAGTTTAATCAATTAAGCATCGTTAAAAACGAGTTTTTTGGGACTGAAATTAAATCTCTTAGGATAATTTTCGACGCTCTATCCGATGGCGTTTTCAGAATATTCTTTTAAACTACAAAAATTGTTTCCACCCCCGTTATTTCTTCGCCCCATCCCCGCAGAGCCACCTTTACTGCGTAATGGATTGCAAAATTTGCATCTGCTGTTAGGATGGACTAATGACGCTGAATGGCAAAGGAAAAAGCACATTTCTCAAAACCGCCACGGCGGCGCCGGCGGCACGATGGAAAGGGTGCGTTTTTCGTTAATGCCACCGTTCTGTATTCTAATTAAGAAGGATTGAAATTTCCCATCACCATCCATTTCCAGACCACGGCGTACGCGGGAGCCGCAGCTACGCACGATGCGCTCAATACTCTACGTTACGAGCTGCGTCAACAGCAGAGGGGCTTTATCGATTTCGTGGAACTTGTGAGGATTTGCAGCAATCCATGTTATTCCCCAAATTTTGCAGGCGTGGTACGTGTACACGCTTTTTATGCCGATCGCTCAACAAGACCACCGGGCGGAGGAATTGGTAATACCAGGAATTTAGCAAAGAAACAGCTTTAGATTCTCGTGCAAATCACAGACCGTCGGGCCCGGATCGACCGCCAACGCAAGTACGCAGGCGGCAATGATGTTAGTTGCTTACTATATGAAATTATATAAAACCAGCGCTGACCCCCCGCTACGCGGGAATTCAGCGCTGGACCTCCCCCCACAATTTGAATTTGGAGGTCGCCGGGCGCACGGACATTAGAAATTTATATATAGTAGATTTCCACTTTTTAGACGAGTGAGGAGAACGGCTCAAGCTTCTGCACAACACCACCATCCGTTGCAACAAATAGCGGTAGGATCTAGCTGTTTTCTCGCTCTCGCTTTCGCTCTCCATCTCTCTCTCTCCCTCTCCCTCTCTCTCCCTCTGTGTTGCTCTCTCGCTCGCCCTCACTCTCGCTCCCCCCCCCTCTCTCTCTCTCTCTCTCTCTCGCCCTATCTCCCTCCCTCCCCCCTCTCCCTCTCTCACAGCACACTGTGAATTGCGTATGTTTAGATCGTGCGAACCACCGCGGCGCTTGTGCGCAGAAAATGAAGTCCCTCTTGGAGGTCCTGTTCTCCTTTTTTGGCTTCAACCTGCACACAGTAGGTTACTTGCTTACTTGACTCAGTGAAAATTCCACTTTTCAGCGGACGTCGTCTTCACTGTCGGTGGATTGGATCACGCTGCGCTGCGCCGGTGGCCACGACGATTCGACCGGAGCCGATAACGTATTCAACAGGGTGAATTTACTTGAGTTATGGCTGTCGTTTTATCATTAAGATGGCTTTTTTAATTTCTTGTTTAAGCAAATACTGAATGCCGCGTACCGAGGCACACGTGAGGCGGAGGCTGTGCGTGGCGGCTTGGCTGGTGAGCCGCTCGAATTGGTGGGTTTTCCCATGAAGAAACTTCTGCTAGGTGTGGAACAGAAAATTTGGTTTGAAACCGCTGGGATTTGGAATATGATGAAATTACCGCCTTTTCCGCACCGAAGCCCAGCGGCGACCGTTTAATGCCGATGCCGAGATTCAGTTTTAGTTATTGCTGCGGTCTTTAGCATGGCCCCATTGGCAATTTGCCTAAGCCTAAGCCGAATTTTTCCAGGGATTTTGGTGGTGGAAACCAGCTCTTTTCCTAACTGCGAAATTTTTTAATAGAACGAAAGCAGCACTTGCTACTTACTATAACTGAAAGCAAATACCATGAATTTCATCGAAAATTAAAATTTGGGAACCTCTCTCTCACTATCTCTCTCTCTCTGTCGATCTTTCTCCCTTTCTCTGTCTGTCTCTCTGTCTCTCTCTCTCCCGCTGTCTGTCTGTATGTCTGTCTCTCTCTCTCTCTTTCTCTCTGTAATTAATCCAGCGGTATTATTCCGTTTATTACTTGTTTAGGCTATCCGCGCGGGTCTACAAGAACTAGCGACCATGAAGATCAATGTTAGGGCCCAAAACAGGATGGTGGTGGCAGCCACAGATGCGGTTTTCGAATCGGTGAGTACGGATGGTTTTGGTCTCTAAGCGATTATGCAGTTGAGCAACCAATTCGAGAATCACGAGGCCAACCCCGCTGCTCAACAGCAACTCCAACGCAAGGTTTGCCCAGCCAGTTGAATATCCTGAAAACATCCCTGTTTTCCAGTTGAAAGCGCTGAACGCCGAGTTGAGTGTGATGATGAAGTGTGACAACTGGCTGGTAGGGAAACTAGCATGGGTATATCGTCATCGGCGTTGACTTTTTGATTTTCCGTTTTGATTTTTATTTCTATCGACTTTGACTACTAGAATCACGGCTTCTTCGGTTTTCGGATCGAATTTTGTAGAAGAATAAAATGAAAGAGGTGCTTCTAAAATGTTTTTACTTAGCAATTTGGTTCTTGTGTATTCCCGGGGGGGAACTGAACTTTTTTTGGCCCAAGCCTAGATTTTTTTATATAAATAGTGGAAGTGTTTTTAAATTGTTTATAGCTATTCCTAAACATAAAACTTTTACAAAATTTAATTAAAAAATTTGATTTTAGGTCGAAAAATCGATTTTTTCGGCCCAAAAATGACCAAATCTTCGACTTTTTCAAACGTTTTTCTAACATTTTAAAAAGTTTTTCCGATTCAAATAGGCTTAAATGTTGCTAAAAACAATGTGAAAACCCTTTATATCTGATTACTATCCCCACCAGGGCCGACAAGAAAAAAGTTGGTTCCCCCCGGTTTCCGCTAGGGAAAACGCGCAAGCGGTACGCCATACGGTCTATATTCATGCCATAATCAATCACCCCTTTAACCATTGTTTCAGGCCGGAGTTCCAGCGTTCGCGGTTCCGTCCGACTTCAGCGTAAGATTTTTCGAGTTTTTTGGGTGCAACTTTTTGCGGTTTTGTAATGAGGCAATTGGTGGAAATTTCAAAGATGTAATCCGATGTAGCCTCAAAGAATCTCCTGACATTTTTAATTTTAACGCGAAATTTTGCGCTACAAAACCGGCTATAGCAACAATCAGATTTAAACATGGGTTCCACATAGCGTCAGGGCATGAAATGCGAGCTTCTTGCCGTTTTCCATTTTTTTTGCAAGTTTTTTCCAAGCCATTCGATAGAGCGGAAAAAAGTACATGCTAAAAATATGAATGTTTGCCCAAAGCAATGTCAAAAAAATTTTTTGGCAATGCCAAATCCGAGAGAAGTGGTGAACGCACATTTTGTTTTAAAAATTTGACCGTGCCTAGGGCTACCGATTGGTGGCATGAAAAAGGCTTGCCAACGAACCAAGGAACTTGTTAACGCTCGGTCAGTAATGTCACTTTTTGCAGGTCAGCGTGTCAATCGAAACGGCCTGCTCGCCCACTCCGCCCCCCGTTCCACCGCCACAGCTCCACCCTGTCGCTCGCCTCCCAGGCCCCGTCCAGCTTCCCCCGGTCATCCCACATCTTGAGGAGGTACCCGTTGCGTGAGAGTTTTAGATCGCGCGATTTTAAATAGGTTATTGTACGCATGACGAAAAATCTCCTCGGCAATTAGTCGTAGCGTAGTGAGATAGGACGAACCGGGAAACTCCAAGCCTCAGGCGACTTCTTTAAATTCGAAAACAACGCCAGCAGGTGTAAAATGCATTGGAATGTGACGCCAAAAAACCTGACATAAGCAAACCATCTTTCACGTTATTTGTATTCGACTGAGGTATTTTCGAATTTAAATGAAGGGCGCGCGGGACGGGACTGTTAGCGGGGGGACGGAATTTTTAGCAGAGGGAAAAATCTTCCCAATTCTCCCAATAGTCCTCTACGATCCTATAGACAATTTTAATAGCATTTTACGCAGTTTTCGGTTCTATCAAATTTTTTCAATCCGTGGTGATTTATCGGCCAAAAACTTTTAAAAATGACCGAAAACGGTCGGAAAAACGGGAACCGAAAACGGAAATCGAATTTTCTAAGAGCTGAAAAAAATTTCAAAAATTTGTCGTAAAATTTGTCGTAAATCAAAAATCCTATTGTCACTAAACACGGCTCCTTGTAAGCGGTACTGCCACCCCGACATTATTTGAATTTTAGCGCCAGCAGGGCCAGGTCGAGCGCGCTGTCGTTGCTGTTGCGGCCGAGGTGCCACCCGGTCGTGTTCTCGTAAGGAATATTCCCATCAACCAAGGCAACGCCCGTATTTCTAGCGCCCACGCAATGCCCAAGCTCCAGCCGGCGGGGCTCGCGGACAAGCCGTCGTTGGCGCAAACCTGGACCCGGTGAGCAATTTTTCATACAACCGTTCTTTCGCCTTATCGGGGGGCTTCATCGGGTGGGGCAAAAAGTTTTTCCATAGGAACCGTGTTTTTAATTTAAATGGCGGAAGCGCTTCTAAATTGTTTTTTACTATTTCTAAAGGTAAAAACTTTGCAAATGTTTATTTAAATAATACAAAGAATTTCGACCAAAAATGGCCGTTTTTGACCAAAATCTCGACTTTTTGAAAAAAAACTTCGCGGTGTTTAGATAATTTTCTGGGTTAAAATAGAGTTTTATTTTACTAAACACTAGTAAAATACTGCTTAACAAGTTATTAGACATTTTTAGATCCATACAAATAAAATTTGTCACCCTCGCCCGCCCTCCCCCCCTCGCCGGTAATGCGAAAAAACCCATACAACCTACTTATGCGAGCTTTATCAGCTTTAAATACAAGTATTTTGAATCTTCGTTTCTTTTGCATTATCGGGGGGCGGCGGGATCAACCTTTTTTCTAAGGATCCGATTTTTCTAATAGTAAGTATTTTTTTATGCTTTTCTGGGTTCTTTAGGATTCTGCTGCTGCATCGTAGCCCAAAAATGACCTAAAAATTTTGTCCCCCCAATTTGAATGGGGCCGTGTCGCCCCTTGTGTGCGGCGCGACCGGCCGACATACCCCGTCCGGCAACCATGGAACTGAAACCGGCCTCTGGAGTTATTCTAACTAACTCTAGGCTGATCGTGATGTTGTGCCTGGGCGCGGACGTGGTGGTGCGCGTGCCGGCAATCGTGTAAGTCGTAGTAGCTCGGGATTCGCGAATCGACACCTACGGCACAATTCCACAGGAGTGATGCAAAAGGAGTTGCTTGCACTTCAGTACTTAAAAATTGAGCTCTGCCCTAAACTAACAAAGAAACGTTTTTGCGTGGCGTCCGTGCCGTGCATCTTGGTAAAAAAATTCAGTAAAAAAGCGAGTTCACTCAAACAAATTGGAAATTTTTGAAGTTTTGTTAAAGTTAGGGGCGTCACAACGTACAAAATCTTTGTAATTTTTCAAAAAATTTACGCACTCCGAACGACGCTCAGAAACGCCAGAAACCTTTGCACAATACGCTATTTATTAACAGCGCCTGGAAAAAGTAGTTGCTTTTTGCCTGACAACAGTTGTGAGCGGAAATCGAATAGCCCAAAAGTGTTCGCTACCGCAAGCGTCGCGCCGATAATGTCGTGGAATCCCTCCGATCAAAGGAATGTGCTTGAGCTAGATCGGCTATCGCTACAAACGAGCTACGAATGACAAAGGCGCGTTTAGTGTATTTGTTTTAGCATTTTGCCGGGGGCTCATTTTTCAAAATTCCCCCTCTCCCCAAAAATCGGGGGGAGGGTGGGGGTGCCTCACGACTATTTTTATATTCAAGTTTCCATCGAGCGCTGTATGTTATCTGCCGTAAGCGATCTAGCTCAAGCCCTTTTGACTTCAGGCTAGCAGATCCATGAAAGCATCAAGCATTTTCGTATTTACAGGGAGCTGCTCGTGCTCCGCGTGGTGGTGCGGTTGCCCAGGTAAGCGGCTTTGCCATCGTAGCTGATCCGCAAGCAAAACCTTCGACATAAACATAAACGTTTGGGCAACTTTCTATGACCGTATCTTGCTAGTCGGTTTCAAGGGTTTGATCAACACCGCCAACTCTTCCCTAGTCCTCCAAATTGCATTTTAATTTTGTCGCCAGCAGCAGCAGCATTTCTGATCCTTTATTGTAACCTATGTATGTAAAATTCAATCGTTCTTGATCAAAAATGCGCGCCAAATAGTCAGAAGCTCAAAATTTTCAGAAAATCAAAATTATTAAAAGCGAGGAAAAAACAGCTGTTTAGGCCAAGAATTTTTCAGCATTTCGCTGACCCGGCAATTTTCAAAGCACTTTTTTGCAGCCCCCTGCTCCGCTGGTGGCTGCGCAAGCGGCCCGTGGTGGCCGGGGTCGTGGTCGTGGCGCGGGACGCGGCGGCGTCATGCAGGTAATTAATTATTTAATTTAATTATCTCAGCAAATTATAATTAATGTAATGTATATAATATAAAATAGAGCTATAATCTAATTAGCATTAGATGTTTGTTAAAATTTCGTTGGCCCTGGTTGTTAGGAATCAATTAGCCGAGCGCGGAAGTGGGCTAGCTTGTGTAGCAAAAATACAGTAGCATTTTTCCGCCAATACGAGGCCAAAGAATGTATGCGTTGATGCCCTAGGGGAACGTTATCTTAAAAATACGCGAAATGCCACGCCCCGTTCGATTGTTCTCGACCCATTTCTGGCTTCTAACAGTCCAATGACCGTGACTTTCGGTACACATAGGTGATGATCGGGGGGAGGGGGTAGGGGAACAACGGCGTGAAAAATATGCTAAGATAATTAAACTCAATAAAAGCCATGCAATTAGTTTCAAAACGTGATTTTTATAAGGCACTTTTAGCATCATGTTTTGCAAATAAGAAAACACTTATATGCATTCCAAAAATCGTGATTGTTTGGTCAAAAATGCATCAGTGAAAAGGGATGTTAGGCGAAAGGGGGCAAAATGGGAAGCCGAAATGGTTGCGAAATGGGCTAGGCGAACGACACACCCCCCCGAGCGGACGGGTTAAGGGGATGGATCGCATTAGGGCGTAATGCTGTCAAGCGTTTCTCCAACTTTTCAAAAAGTTAGAAAAACGCTCGAAAACTCGGAAATTTTGTCATTTTTAATTAAATTTTGTAAAGTTTGTATGCTTAGGAGTAGCTAAAGAAAATGAGAAACACTTCCACTATTTATATAAAAAAATCTAGGCTTGTGCCGAAAAAAATTTGTCCCCCCCCGGGAATTACCCCCCCCCACGAACTTAAAGAACCCTAATCTTAGCTCTTCCAATAGTAAAATCGGTTTTTGAATTTTGAGAGCGCTATCTCTGTGTGTCCCAAAAAAGGGGGAAGTGTGTGTGGATGTCACTTTCGAAAGCCCGATTAAGGGCCCCTGGATAAAATGGGCTTGATTTTTTGTCACTTGGGGAATCGACCTTCCTCTTTCCGATGGCGTTTTCAAGAATTTCGATGAAATTACAAGTTTAGCATAAGCTTAAATCTGCCGGTTTTATTCATTTTTGGGGTTAAATTTGCCAATAAAAATGCATAAAAAATACAAATTACCCCTTCTTGTAATTTGCCCGCGCGTGTGTGGTCGGTGGGGGAAGGGGTCCGCAAGACCCGAGCTATCGGAAAGTCAAATTTCTCATGCAAAGGCCGCATTCCAGCGCCCAACGCCCGCGAAGCGGGTTTTGGGCGCTGGTAGTAAAATCGGTTTTTGAATTTTGAGAGCGCTATGGCAATACTGTCATTAAAAACAGCCGGGAAGAGCCAGATCAACAAGTCATAACTAGAGAATTGGATTAAACGACGCATAACTCGGGTCTGAAAGATCAGCAGCCCGTTTCGAAAACGGCATCGACCGCATTTGCGTGCACCTTTTGAGCCACTTTGAGCCCAGGTCCATACGAGTTTCCCTTAAAAGGACCTTTAGTTAGGCCAGTAGCATCGCTAAATTTTTACAGTCTCAGTCGACTTTTAATAGCTGCCTTAAAAGATACAAACTTTTCCAGCCATGAAGTACTTGCCTCAGAAGCGCCTATTACAACTTCCGAAGGCGTCAACTTTTTATACTCGCTCTCAACCCTCGGCCCGTCGTCGCCGATCAAGAGTCTTACCCGACCGCAAATTTACTTGATTTCAAGCTCGTTGATCTATCAATTCATAATGTGGTGCCGGCTTTTTTCGAGAATAAATATGGGCAGCTCTGCATCAAGACATATCAATTTACACATGCTAGAAATGGGTCGAGGTCACTCGTTTTGGGATCTTGGATTGTGAGGCTTGAGTGTTTCCAAAAGGAGAAGGTTTTGTACGGTTTTAGCGAGAGACACCAAGCAACGCGGAGTACCTCGGTACACATAGAATAACGGGGGGGTGGGGATGTAAACACACAAAGTTTGTTTATAATAAAAACCCCGTTTTAACTATGTTTTTCTTTATTTCATAAATTTCATAAGGCTTTTGGTATCTTAGTGTTTGACATTCTGGAATATAGGGCGTACCACAACCCAACTCACCCCCCGCCTAGAGAACCAGAGAAAGCTCGGAACGAAATGTCCTTACACCATTTGAAAGCCCATTTGAAGGCGAAAACACGAGCGGGTTTCGTTTTCTTAAATTATTTAAGATTTTTCCGAGTTTTCAGTCAAAAAATGTACAATTGGATCTGTTAATCTATAAAACGAAAAAGGCTTGTTTTCTCGTCAGTTCGAGGGCTTTCCATAGACACTTAAATCGTTAAATCGTTAAAATCGGGCACATCTGCGAGCCGCTAGAGGGTTGTGTTTTTTTGGGACACGCTGTACATCGTATAATTAATATGATTGCAGCGACGTGTTCCTGTTCGTGGAGCAGGTCGGCCCCGCATCTACCCGACGGTCGGTTTCGTCGGCTTTTGAAGTTTGCGTTATCCAAAAAAAAGTCCAGATTGAATAAAACGGTTATTAAACCAGAAAAACGCTATATGAAACCCATATATCTTTTATTAGGTCGAGGGCCATTGTGCCGATTGCCATCGGCCCGATCCCGTTCTCAACAATGCCGTCGGTCCGTTTCTGTGCAAACGCTGTATCAAAAACTTCCGGTTCGTGCTTCGAATTCCCTCATAAGCGGTTTCCCGACCCCGCCAAAGTGCCATCTTCAGCCGTACCCTGAAACGCATCCCCGAACAGCCGTGTACAAGGAATTGTGGTGTCCAGTGTGGGTTTTTATTAGGTCCTAGCATCCTATATTTATCTTACTAGCTTCCAAGGATAGCACGAATAAACCCGCAATCAGAATTTGCAGAAAATTTGCACACGGATACAATCGATATCGCTGCTCAATTCCTCGTTTCCCCGAATTTGCTACTTATCCGTAAAACCCAAAATCCCAAAGGTTTACTTTACCCACTGCCCTGCCCGGAGTTCCCAAAAGTTTTCCCCACTAACCTTTTTATTTTACATTATTTTGGGCTGTCAATAAAATTCTTGGGATTTTTATGATATTTATAGGCGCAGCCAAACTTCCGACATAGCGGTAGCGGCAAAATTCGGGCTCTCCTAGTTAGAACAAACCGCCAGTTTTTTATGCAACACAGCAAAACAATAATTTGACCCGGTTTCCCAATAGCGACCACTTCATCATGACAAACAACATGGGTACCAGCTAGTTTTTGACATTTTAGCCTTTTTCGTGCCTTTTTAACGAAAAAGGTCATTGATTAATAGTCTACAATGTGTTTTAATGCTGTTAAGCCTAAAATAATGTGAAATAACATAGTTATCGATATAAACACTAATTTAATTCCGTAAATTTTCAATCGTAACTTTTAATAAGTCCGAGCCAGGGGCTAACGACCGGTGGTACCGAAGGCTTCAACATAGTATTCGAGAGCTTGCAGCTGCGGGGAGGGGGGGGTAAATGGAACTCATACCGTACTGTTTGCTCAAGATAATGCCATTTTCAGCCCCCTGTGCTTACCACACCATCCTGCGCAAAATGACTATCGGCTACCGGCTGCCAGCCGGTGTGACGCTGCCCCGATGAAGACCGAATCTCATCAATGCATTAATTCACCCTGTTGCCTGCAAACTCGTCCCGAACCACCTGTGATTTCTGTATTATTTGTGATTAGTAACTATCTCCACTTCCAGTAACCTTCCCCCTAAAAACTCGGCCTTTCCTCCTTCCCGCCTTACCGATGCTTTGAGATATCCCCAAGTAGGGCTTCACTTTCGTGCCCACCCAAAATAAACTGGATTACATCTCGCCTCATCAACAGAATCCCGCACCCCAAAACGGAAATGTGATCGGTCAATTGTTCATCTGGGACGTCAGCGAATTGCTCACAAAAAAATTCGTTACATACAGTCTCAAATAAATTCTTTCCCGTAATGCCCTATTGGCTAAATGTCTGGCCAAGCTGACGGTCTGGCTAAGTTTTGATTCACACAACCCTGAAGAACAGAACTAGATCCGCCCTCGACTGCCCAGGGATCTATCGTATGGCGGCGACGACAACGCACCGACCTCTTGAAGAAAATTCCCCCGGTGCTAATGCACTTGGGGGGGGGGGGGGGGGGGTAGTGCAAATTGGTGGCAAGGGGGTACGAGGCACTCCGCTAAGTAACTTGGTTTTCAGCTTAGGCCTAGGCTTAACTTGGCTTTAACTAAGCACAAGGCCAAGTGAGCTAGTGAGCTTCAAATTGGCTTACGAGGTCAAAATGGGGTCATTTATGGGCTAGCTTAAAACTAAGCTTAGCTTGGCTCAAGCTAAGACTAGGCTTCGTTTGTATGAAGCTAACAAGGAGACGTTTTTAGGGGGCACGGAGTTCGGCGGGACCTAGCCTATTTGTGCAGAATTTGCTGAGTAAAACGTACTGGTTGCGAACGACCGGAAAACCAGAGTATGAGGGTCAAAGTGGAAAAAGGCCAAAATGGCCTGCGGCACCTATAAAATATAGCAGAAAGTTCCACGAAAATATAGTGCACTTGCCAGAAAATCACGTTCTTTCGAATAAGCTATAGCACGCGGAAATTTCAAAATTTTGTCAAATTGCTGAAATTTCACATGGGGACCAAGTCGTCTAAATTAATCTTTTGAAAAATGTTCGGACTTGTTTCATGAGATGGCTGATTCGAAAGAGCGTGATTTTCTGAGCAAGTGCACTATAGTTTTCGTGGAAACTATTCTGCTATATTTTATAGGGCCGAAAGTAGCCATTTTGCCCACACTTTAAACCCATAACTTTGGTTTTCCGGTGTCATTCTAAAAGTACGTTTTCATCGCAAAATCTGCACAAAGGCTAGGCCCCGTTCCGAAACTCCGTGCCCACCTAAAAACGTCTCCTTGTAAGCCCAGGTTTAGGCTTCGATTCGCCTTTCCAGAGGCTTCGAGTTTCAAAAACGGCATTTGGGGCGTCTCCTAGTCAAAATCCAGGCTGCTCCTCAAGTGCATTAGCACCAATTCCCACCATGTAATTTTCCATCGCAATTCCCACAAAGTTTCTAGATTTTCCGTCTATCAGATTAGCAGCAAGAAATACTTCTACTTATCAGCAGCAAGAAATACCTCTTACTTCATGATGTACAAAGTATCGTGGCGTATTCTCCATCTAAAAATATACACAAAACACTTGAATACACAGCCCCAGAGTGATTGAGTGGCTTGTAACGCTGCTTGTTTATCAATAATTAAGGTGTCATCTCGCCATTTCAGCATGTATTATCGATCGTAGCTTAAGAAGCCGCTTACTTCATGATGTACAAAGTATCGTGGCGTATTCTCCATCTAAAAATATACACAAAACACTTGAATACACAGCCCCAGAGTGATTGAGTGGCTTGTAACGCTGCTTGTTTATCAATAATTAAGGTGTCATCTCGCCATTTCAGCATGTATTATCGATCGTAGCTTAAGAAGCCGCTTACTTCATGATGTACAAAGTATCGTAGCGTATTCTCCATCTATAAATATACACAAAACACTTGAATACACAGCCCCAGAGTGATTGAGTGGCTTGTAACGCTGCTTGTTTATCAATAATTAAGGTGTCATCTCGACATTTCAGCATATTATATCGATCGTAGCTTAAGAAGCCGCTTACTTCATGATGTACAAAGTATCGTAGCGTATTCTCCATCTAAAAATATACACAAAACACTTGAATACACAGCCCCAGAGTGATTGAGTGGCTTGTAACGCTGCTTGTTTATCAATAATTAAGGTGTCATCTCGCCATTTCAGCATGTATTATCGATCGTAGCAAAAGCCGCTTACTTCATGATGTACAAAGTATCGTAGCGTATTCTCCATCTAAAAATATACACAAAACACTTGAATACACAGCCCCAGAGTGATTGAGTGGCTTGTAACGCTGCTTGTTTATCAATAATTAAGGTGTCATCTCGCCATTTCAGCAGTATTATATCGATCGTAGCTTAAGAAGCCGCTTACTTCATGATGTACAAAGTATCGTAGCGTATTCTCCATCTATAAATATACACAAAACACTTGAATACACAGCCCCAGAGTGATTGGTGGCTTGTAACGCTGCTTGTTTATCAATAATTAAGGTGTCATCTCGCCATTTCAGCATGTATTATCGATCGTAGCTTAAGAAGCCGCTCACTTCATGATGTACAAAGTATCGTAGCGTATTCTCCATCTAAAAATATACACAAAACACTTGAATACACAGCCCCAGAGTGATTGAGTGGCTTGTAACGCTGCTTGTTTATCAATAATTAAGGTGTCATCTCGCCATTTCAGCATATTATATCGATCGTAGCTTAAGAAGCCGCTCACTTCATGATGTACAAAGTATCGTAGCGTATTCTCCATCTAAAAATATACACAAAACACTTGAATACACAGCCCCAGAGTGATTGAGTGGCTTGTAACGCTGCTTGTTTATCAATAATTAAGGTGTCATCTCGCCATTTCAGCATGTATTATCGATCGTAGCTTAAGAAGCCGCTCACTTCATGATGTACAAAGTATCGTAGCGTATTCTCCATCTAAAAAATATACACAAAACACTTGAATACACAGCCCCAGAGTGATTGAGTGGCTTGTAACGCTGCTTGTTTATCAATAATTAAGGTGTCATCTCGCCATTTCAGCATAGTATTATCGATCGTAGCTTAAGAAGCCGCTTACTTCATGATGTACAAAGTATCGTAGCGTATTCTCCATCTATAAATATACACAAAACACTTGAATACACAGCCCCAGAGTGATTGAGTGGCTTGTAACGCTGCTTGTTTATCAATAATTAAGGTGTCATCTCGCCATTTCAGCATATTATATCGATCGTAGCTTAAGAAGCCGCTTACTTCATGATGTACAAAGTATCGTGGCGTATTCTCCATCTAAAAATATACACAAAACACTTGAATACACAGCCCCAGAGTGATTGAGTGGCTTGTAACGCTGCTTGTTTATCAATAATTAAGGTGTCATCTCGCCATTTCAGCATATTATATCGATCGTAGCTTAAGAAGCCGCTTACTTCATGATGTACAAAGTATCGTGGCGTATTCTCCATCTAAAAATATACACAAAACACTTGAATACACAGCCCCAGAGTGATTGAGTGGCTTGTAACGCTGCTTGTTTATCAATAATTAAGGTGTCATCTCGCCATTTCAGCATGTATTATCGATCGTAGCTTAAGAAGCCGCTTACTTCATGATGTACAAAGTATCGTAGCGTATTCTCCATCTAAAAATATACACAAAACACTTGAATACACAGCCCCAGAGTGATTGAGTGGCTTGTAACGCTGCTTGTTTATCAATAATTAAGGTGTCATCTCGCCATTTCAGCATGTATTATCGATCGTAGCTTAAGAAGCCGCTTACTTCATGATGTACAAAGTATCGTGGCGTATTCTCCATCTAAAAATATACACAAAACACTTGAATACACAGCCCCAGAGTGATTGAGTGGCTTGTAACGCTGCTTGTTTATCAATAATTAAGGTGTCATCTCGCCATTTCAGCATGTATTATCGATCGTAGCTTAAGAAGCCGCTTACTTCATGATGTACAAAGTATCGTAGCGTATTCTCCATCTATAAATATACACAAAACACTTGAATACACAGGCCCAGAGTGATTGAGTGGCTTGTAACGCTGCTTGTTTATCAATAATTAAGGTGTCATCT